TTCACAATTGTAGCAATGTCTTTGCCTCTGCCTTGATTTCCAGCTCCTTTTACAGCTTCAAGTTCATCCTACATAAACACAAATATAAAGGCTCTACCATTACAGGAGGTTTCAGTTCAAAATTTAACAGTTTTTAATTCCCTTGTGAAAAAAATTACATTGTTCATGAAAGTGAGGACGAGTAAATGTACGAGAGCGTTTCAAAAGTAACAGTAAATTGACAAGATTTCACGAAACAAATACCCCAGGCATTTCATACTCCCGCACAGGGAAGATACATTCTTAGAGAAGGTTTTTACACTGCTCAATAGATGGCGTGGCATGCTTAATTGGAAGGGATGCATATACAAAATGGCAGCACCCTTAACTGTTTGCACCGTAGAGGAGCAGCGAGCAATCATCAGATTTCTGTGGTCACAGGGTGTGAAACCTCGTGAAATTCATAGAAGAATGCTGCAACAATATGGAGATGCCTGCATTGGCGAGAGAAGTGTGTACGAGTGGGTAGATGCATTTAAAAATGGGCAAACATCAATCCGTGATGACCAACGCTCCGGTTGTCCATGATAACGCACGCCCTCACATGGCTGCTGCGACTCTCGACACCATTCGCAGATTGAGATTTCAGATCTTACAGCATCCCCCATACAGCCCTGACCTTGCTCCCTCTGATTATCATGTGTTTGGACCCCTGAAGGACGCTTTGAGAGGACAAAGATTTGGGTATGATGACGAGGTCAAAGAAGCAGTGCATTCCTGGCTGAAGGCACAACCAAAAACATTTTTTCTGTTGGAATAAAGAAGTTGGTGCAACGGTGTGAGAAGTGTACTGAAAAGGAGGGTGATTATGTAGAAAAATGACATATCATTTGTATCTGTAATTAAATTATATATCTCAAAATATTTAATTTGCTGTTACTTTTTGAAATACCCTCATAGTTATCAGCAGATACAGTCTGCTGTTCTCCTGCTTCTAATTTGATAGACCCTGGCATTCAGCAACAACAGTTTTGTCAGCCAAAATTAAATTACGAATGTGACCGGCAAAGGAATGAGTATTTCAGTATCATCAAAGACAATCACCAAACATTTAACTTTTCATGAACTCCACATACAATGACTAATAACTTTGAATCTGAAGGAATTAGTTTTTACCTGAATGGCTGAATTTATAAGATCATCATATTCATTGAAGCGGTAGCTGAAAAGGGTCTGACGTCTTTCCCTCAAGTGATACAGAGGTTCTGATTCATCACCTGATGATGATCCTGACTCTGAACTAGATGATGATGATGATGATGATGATGATGATGATTTCTGAGCCTTTGAGGCATGATCTGATTCACCAGCTATTAACAACAGAGCAAAACCAATATGGATCAATATCAAATACATAACTGAAAATATATTAACAATAACGCAAGCAATTTAGATTCAATGTGTTCATTTCTGCAAACCAAAATAGTTAATTCACAAAAATTTTCTGGGGTATACACAGACATTAGGATGATATCCACGAACAGAAGCACCGCTACACAACATTCTTGGAAACATCACATTCACTCTGTACAGATTTTCTTCTGCATAGAAGTTACATCACCTATTTGGAATTTCTGATTTTCCAAAAAAATTAACAGATAACTTCCAAATCGCCATCAATGTCGCTCTTCCTGAATATGGAGACAATTTGTTTCTCTAAAACATTGATATCTACCTATAAGTTCACACGTTCATACTGAACACCAAGACAAGTGAAAAAAACAAATTCTTCAGCTACTATTTTATAGGATTTCAGAACTTTATAAAAATCTAGATTTGTCAAGTTCATGAGAAAATTAGAAAAACAGTAGCCATTAATAAGGTCTTTATTTTAAAAGAATGACTTTCACACCCAGAGTAACTTGAAAGAGAATACTACAAGGAAATTCCAGCCATGCAAAAATGCCTTTTGCTGGATACTGCGAAGACCTCACATACAAATGCTCATGTGTATACTAGTATTTTATGTTATTATTGTACATCTATGTCAGAAACTGGCAGTCTTAAAATAAGAAACAACATAAAATTATCTGCAAGTTCATGTAAACCAGTGTGAATCAGAAGGGGGTGCACAACAGATTCTAAGCTGCTCTGATGCTAGGGTAGTTAATCCCCCGCCCCTTTTTCATTAACTTACAAACATGAACTCAAAATCAGTGCTTACCACTAGCTCCAGTTTCCTTTTCCTTATTTGGAAGTACATTGTCCAAACTTATGCCCACATATGCGAGCCTTTTACGCCGCAACTCTTCGTTCTCGCGTCGTTTCAAGGCTCGATCAAATTCCTTCAAGTTATTCTGAAGATTTGTCAATAGGAATGCCTGTAATAAAAATTAGAAAACTTCAATGGACGTAGCTGTCACACCTACAGCAAACCTCAAAAGAGTGTAAAAACTACTCAGATGAACCGTACATCACTATGAAAGTATACTTACATGCTCGCAGGGGGGGCAAAACCAATCCCCCTCCGGAATGACAAGTAATGCTGGGCGCAGACATGAACCATGCCAACCTGAATCGCATTTGTCACAAAGTAGAATCCACTCAGGATGGTCGCTTTTGCCACATTTCTGGCAAGCATGATCATCTGCTGTCTCCTCTCCATCAGATTCTAACCAAAGAAATTAACAGTAATAAGATGAATGTCTAGAACAGCATTTCTCAACCGGGGTTCCCCGGAACCTTAGGGTTCCGCGAGCAATCGCCGGGGGTTCCGCGAGAAATAGTGATGAATAGGCTAATCATATGTAAATGTATTTTTGAGTCATTTTTATGTTTAATTTCATATTCGTAATTTTACTATACACGTACGACATATTCTCGGAAAATTCTTGGGTATTATAATAAAGTCTTCAACCTGTTATGTCATTTAGAAATATAATAATCATTGCAGTTTTCAACCTCTTACATGTGTGAGCAAGCTTTTTCTTATTTAACAAGTATCAAGACCAAAGACAGAAATCGTCTCCTTTCAGTTGAAGATGAAATCCGTGTGTGTTTATCTAAAGTTCGACCCTGAATTAAGTATTTGTGTACCAAAAGACAAGCACAGTTTTCACATTAGAAAAGTACATTTTATTATTTAAATTGGCTTCAAAAATAACATTTCCTTGACACATATATTTGTTCATATGACATTTTACTTTGATTTATCTTATGCCTTTTTAACAATGTCAATAAACGATTTAGTTATTGTAGTAGTTATTATCTGTTTTCGTTCTGTTTATATGTGTTATATATAATATTGGTTATTTATGTTTATTTTTTGTGTGAATGAAAACCTCCGTATGAGGTCTCTTGAACAGGCAGTTTGATTTCAGTTTTTTTGTATTGTCAATAAACTTGAGAAAAACATAAGTTATTTTTGCATAAACCAGCTATCAGAAAAAATATATTAAGTTTTCCTTATGAACTTTAAGTTTATAAAAAAGAAAGAAAGAAAGATATCAATAATGATACATAATAATTTTTATGTAGGGGTTCCCTGAGACATGAATATTATTTCAAGGGTTCCGCAAGGGCAAAAAGGTTGAGAAACGCTGCTCTAGAAGAATGAAAAGGAGAAGCATACACCAAGAAGAAAAATATTATTTTTATTACCAATTATAATTTAATAAAAAATTGACAGTGGAACCACAGTTCTGGAGAATCTGACGTAAATACGTCTTCGTATTTAAATTATATTTAGGCAATAAATACAATGAAAGGAAGTTTATACATAAACTTGATAACTTGCAATAATTGCTTCTTGCGATTTCTATATTCCCTCATACATTCAGCATTAGTTTTTGGTATTTTTTTGGGAACTTCAGGTTCATTATTTAATACTTCTATTTTTTTACGTTTTCTGTACTGTCTCATATATTCTGCATTACGGACTCTTTTAGCTTCAATGTCATCCATCTTGTTATCTCTACATAGTATGACGCAACATACAAATGCAGCAGTAGCGTGAAGTGGTATGCGCCTTTATTTGTATAAATAAATGTTTGTAGAACCTAAACCATTTGTGATATGTAAAATCTGAAAACAGATATGGAAAGCTCAAGAGGTAATACGTATTTTGCATGCAATATGTAGGTCCTTATTTGCTGATCATTTTACATATAGGTTACATTACCCTTACTCTTACCATTCCTGAGGAATGAGCGTTTAAAGGTGACTCGGCGCTGGATCTTACACATCTTCATAACGCTGTTTTTGCCGAATGACCCTTCCTCATAGACGTATTTATGTCAAAAGACGACAAGCCTAATTCTCTTACACGAGTTCACAAATGCAGATAAAAACATTAAATGTGATGAACAATAATAATAAATAGGAATCTCTTACCTCAAACTTTGTTCAATTGTAAGAGACGAGGTCCACCCGCAATGACCAATTTAATCAAAACTAAAATGGAGGGAGTGGAGGGCAGTATCACAGATTTCTTAATAAGATAACAGATATCTTATATAAGATAAGTACTTGTGATATTCTAAAACGTTTTTACCAGCACAAAATTATCTAGTCTACGACGCACTTCTTCTGCAAGCGATTAACAGCTCAGCTGTTTCCGCAATAATGAAAGCGGATTGTTGACGGCAGTAATGAAACACAACAATGCCGAGTAAACAGATGACATTTCTTAGGTATCATAACAATACACGCAGGAGTTCATTTGAAAGCTGACCATTGTCAGTCTATATTTACACATTGTTGATATGGATGTTACACATCTTCGTAACGCTGTTTTGCCGAATGACCCTTCGGTATAGACGTATTTACGTCAAAAATGATACTCTCCTGTACTACACACGTAAGGTAAAAAATAACAAACAAATGATTATGATGCGAAAACCTGTAAAAAATGTCCACTTAGAAACCAATGGAAGGCAAGCATAATGAGTGAACATCCACTAAAATGGCTGTGAATGGCTACTGTAAGAATTATTATTGAAGAAGTGATGAACATTATGTTTTCAAAACATAAAAAGTTAGATTACCTTTCTGTGCAGTCCTAGCCCTGCGTGGGGGCTGCACCTCAGCATCTTCATTTTCTAAGTCAGACTCTGGAGAGAACTCATGGTCTGATTTGAACACCAAGTTACTCTCATCTTCCTCCTCCTCTGTCTGCTCCTGTTCTTCCTCCTCCTCTAATGATGAACTAAAGAAAGGCATATACTGTATTTATTGATGTAACACAAATACATGTGTCACATTACAGACAAACTTTCAATAACTTTTGTAACCATGTCTCCTACCACATTATTACAATGCCTTTCACTTCTCAGCATATAGAAGCATTAAGGATGTCTCTCTCAAGGTAAGTGACAAAATTCACATACAGATGTGAATGGATATCAAACCCATAAAAAAATATATATACAGAGTGATTCAAAAGGTTAGGGCCAAACAGAAGGAGCGTATAGAGGAACTCAGAGAGAACAACTTTCGGATAGGAATCCATGTCCTCCGAAGTTATCCTGAGTCAGTCGAGGCCATTGAAGGTAGAGAAGTCTGATAACATACCACTGAAATAATCGTACTTTGCTATTCTCCTACTAGCTTAATTTTGAATCACACGTATCCCGTCAGATTCTACAGAGGCCCCCAGGCTGTTTAATTGTGTTTGTGAGTTGATAGTGACTGGCGTATTGCTGCTTTTGTAGTCTCGTGTTGGTTATTTGTGAGTGCAGAGGCTCCTGGGTTGTTTGTGTTGGCGACTTGATAGCGACTGGTGTCTCGCTTAATAAAAAAAAACAAAATTAAGCTAGTAGGAGAATAGCAAAGTACGATTATTTCAGCGGTATGTTATCAGACTTCCCTACCTTCAATGGTCTCAACTGACTCAGGATAACTTCAGAGGACATGGATTTGTATTCAAAAGTTGTTCTCTCTGAGTCCCTCTATACGCTCCTTCAGTTTGGCCCTAACCTTTTGAATCACCCTGTATATAAAATCCATGGGATTAATACAAATATTTCATCCCAAATTAATTCAGACAAAAGAACCAAAATGTTGATGAGCAACATGTTAGTCATATATTTTCATAAATCAGTAATGTGTAAAATCTGTCTCATCTTATGCCAATTAATTTAAATTTTATTTTTTATTAAAATGAGTTCAAAACTGAACTCCATAGTGACTCAAAGGTTTTGCTTTTGTATTTCTTATATTACCTTGAAGATCCAGATGTTGACTGCCAAGGATTATCACTGAAACTTTTGCCAGACTTCTTCTTCCGCTTCTTCCTTTTCTTTTTCTTTTTCTTTGAAGTAGCTGGCTCTTCTAACTCTTCCTCTGCAGTGTAGTCCTCATCACTTTCAACCTGCAAAATATTATACATTTTCACCCTACGGTTTATTTCTGCCCCACATACAATATTCCCAATTATTCAGACTTTCATTGACAATTATTTGACCAACTTACAATTTTCTTTTTCCTCTTCCGTTTATCTGACTTAGATTCCTGAAATAAAATGCCAGTATTAAAAGATTTTCCCAGAAAAATCTGCCACTCTGCTGGCAAAAGTCTTTACCCATTCTGTCCACTTCTCAACATATTTCAGATAATGTACTGATGTTTCACAGCAACTAGGGTCTTAACCAACAGGAACAAAAACACAAGTTAGCAAAACCAGTTTTTGTTAATGGCAAATCATGGATGAACATAATAAAAGTCAAAAGCTAAGTATTCTGCCCCATTCTTTAAACGGAGACTTGTAACATCATAACTGCAAAACAATGATATCTACCTGTAAGTTTACACAGTGCCACAACCCAGACGAACTACATCATCAACCTTACCACTGTGAGAACCTCCTCAAATCTCAACAAATTACTGGCAAATTTCCAATGTAGTACGTAAATAAAATACCAACAAGATAATGGGCCATTTCCTTGAATAACAAAATCCCATAATCTATCTTAATCTATCCTTACCTTAGTCTCATGTTTTTCATCATGTTTACGCCTTCGTTGCTGTTCCTTCAGTTCAGAAAGGGTCAATTCTTCCAATTTCCTCCTCTCTGCCTCCTCCTTAATTTTGATTTGTGCAATACGACGAGACTGACGTATAGGCATCCCAGAACTAGGACCAGCTCCACCATCTTTGCTCGTCTCTTCCAAGATAATGTCAACTCCCACATCCAGTCCAAGCAATCGGCGTGCTGTAATAACGTTAACCCACATCTCCTACTCTCAATATTAAGTACATAAATAACAGAGTAGGAAATTGCCAAAAAACAAAGGGGGAAGCATATTTCTTTAAATACCTTAATCTTCAGAGACTTCAAAATGAGAAAACTGCCAATGGACTGAACTGTATGAACTGCACAAGTGTAAGTCAAAGGATATACAAGACTGTCCCAAATATTCTCAAAAGAAACTGATTTTACACTTAAATTTATATAATCTCTAAAGGTAGGATGTTACACATACTTATCATTAGAATATACTGGGTAAAAAAATTATTTACTTTTCCTTGGAGCAGATTTTGGTTTCATGGGTACTTCTGAAATAACAGGTAACTCCGTGTGGCTCATGTCAGAATGGGCATCACTGCTAACCGCAGGGCTGTCAGTAGTAGTTTGTGAAGTGAATCCTCCTCTGCCTCTACCACGCCCCCTGCCTCTCCCACGTCCACGGCCTGGTGGCCTACCCCTGCCACGAGGTGTAATCTCTTCTGCTGTTGATGTTGTGAACTGTGATTCATCTGATGATTCTCCTTCCATGCCTACCAGCATATCACCACCATGATCATCATCACTGCTACTGTATCCTCCCTCTAGAAGCTTCTGTTCCTCAATACTTCGTCGCAACTGCATATCAGGTGTGCGTTTGTTTCTAAGTTTTCTCCTTTTGCCGCCAGCATCTTCACCTGTTTCTGCCTCTTCCAAACTTCGCTTTCTTCGCCCTTCGATAACCATACCTTCATCATCAGACTGGGAATCTAGCCTGCGGCTATTCCTACGTTTCTGTCCAACTGGTTTTCCTCTCTTGACTGACTTGTCAATGGAAACATCATCTTTGGTCACTTTTTTAGAAGGTGGTTGTGGTTTCTTAATCTCAGTTGTAGCTAATAAAGCAGTGCTCGACCTTGTCGTCCTCGATCTTGTCAGAGGAACATCATCATCTGCTCCTGCTAAGGGGTCTCTCTCTGCAATATATAACACCTCCTCCTCTTGCTTTGAGGAATCCACATTCAATGACAAAAATGGCATAGATTTTGAATTCTTATTACCTTTCTTAGGTTTTTCTGAAGGTAATTTTATTGCCATCTTCCCATGCTGCCGGGTCTGTAACCTGGTTTTGACAGTAACATCTACTCTCTCTTCACTCTTTGGTGGTGTATAATCAAAAGTGAGATCCTGTATACTAACTCCATAGTTAATTTCTGATTCCTTCTCTGTTACAACTTCTTTTGTTTTACTTATATCATCTATATCTTCCACATAAATCTCTCCAGACGCAGGCAATTTTTCACTGGGTGTTTCGGAAGAATCCTTAATAACTTGCTTCACACCAACTTCTGGTAACACGACCTCAGTGTCTTCTGGTGATTTAATTAGTGGTTCTAATTCTACACATTCAGATTCCTTTAGAAAAGTAGTAACTTCGCTAACACATGACCTTTCTTTTGGCAAAGAATCATCTGCTTTTGCATGGTCGCTAGGTTCTGGAAAAACGTTTGGTACAACGCTTCCCTGTGTGTCAACTTTGTCTGTAACAGAAGAAGACTCATGAGTAGCAGATATCGTTGCTATGCCATCAATATTCGTTTCTTCTGCAACTGGTTTCTTAACATCTGAACTTCCAGATTTATTATCCTTTTCCTTGTTTTGGAATGGCTTACATGCAGCATCAGAAACTTTGGAAAATGCTGACTGAGATTTAGAAGGACTCAAATCTTCTGATCTAATTGTAACATCTTCCATTTTGTTTCCCACTGTTGATGATGAAAGACTCACTTGTGGTGATGATGTTTCTGTTATACTTACAGTTGCACTCAAAGTTTGCATCAACTTTTCATTGGACTGGATTGGAGGATGAAAACCTTCTTTCTGTGGCTCAGCTTTGTTTTCAGAGTTGTCCTCCAATACACTTGGTACATTACTTTTTTGTTTACTTTCTTGAACAACAGAATCCTTCTGAATGGCTGTTTTTTCTCCTTCTGCATTACCTGTACCTGACTTTGTCATCTGCAAATCCGGAACAAACACTCCGTATGAACTATCAGACCTTTTCAATGCCTGTACAGCTCCTGGATGAGACTGTGACTTCTGTTCTAATGAATGTTTCAGAATTGGTGCCATGCCAAATTCTGGTATATTTTTCTTTATGGTTGTATCTACTAATCTTTCTGCAGCTGACTCACTAACTGGATATACGAAAGGTATTTCCGGTGACTCTGACAGTGATATTGACGGCCCTTTCTCTTCTAAAATATCCTGACATTTGATGGGTGGTTTTTCCAACAATTTTTCTATTGGCGTTAATGTAATAAAACCAGTTCTTAGTTTGTGAGCGAGTTCTGATTTCAGTGGTGGTTCAGATCCAAGTTTGGATTTCTCTGGAATAACACAAGGCTCTTTATCTTGTTTTTCAGAAGGCTGAACGTCTACTGCTTGACTACCTGCAATTCTGTCAAGTACCTTGTTATCAGATGGCAATGGGCCTGAGAATCTTGTCTGGGAATCCAATCCACTTTTTCCAGCAAGTTTGCTCATCATGATACCCATAGTGATATTTTCCACAGATTTTCTTCTGCCTTTCCCAGATCCAATCAACCCCTGATGAAGGAGTTTACCAGGAACATTACCTGAACTGCCCCTTCCCTGCATCAATAAAGGCTTCAGACTAATAGAGCTTAAAGCCTCACTTTTTAAATTCTCTTGTACTGTCTTTATGATAGGTTTCTCAAGCAGAATCTCTGAAGCTGCTTTCTCGCGCGATGCATCAATGCTATCACATGAACCTTTTACAGCGGTCTCTTCAATGCAAACACTGGCTATTTTTTCAACACTTGCTTTGGCAACAGGAATATCTACAGGTTTTCCAACACTTTTATCAGAAGTAATATTTGCAACATTTTCTATTGTGGTGTTTGTAATGTCTGAAGATTTATCAACAGTCATATCCGCAACAACAGCTTCATCAGCAGTTTTTGTGGTGTTAACATCACTGGCAGTAATTCTGTCAGCTGCACCACCTATCTTTCCAAAGGGTTCATCCAAGATTGTATCTACAGATCTTCCAGTGGTTTTGCTTGTGATATCAACAGTATTTCTTACAAGCTTTTCAAGCACAGTACTCTTACACAATTTTCCAGCAGAACTATCTGTGTTTTTCTTACAGATTTGAGCAGTTGTGACATCCATAACTTGTGAACTTTCACTGACACTGGCCAAAATAGATTTTCCAACAGTTTTATCATTCATTACATCTGTAACTGTTACAAGAGTTTTGTCACAAATAGCACCATCTCTCCCATGAGATATATCAGTAGTAACATCTGGAGCTTTAAGTAAAGATTTAACAGCAGCCACATTTAGAGTCTTTTCCATGGGTTTGTTTGTAGTTAGATCCACAGATTTTTCAATGGTTTCATGATCATTTCCATCATTATCTTTCCTAACTACAGTGTCAGTGTTATCCACAGCATCTCCGCACTTCTTCTCAGAGGTATCATTCACACATTTTATATCAGATCCAACGGCAGCATCCAAACAAGCCTTTATGATTTTATCATGGCAAACACCCACAATTTTAACACCAACTTTATCAGCGGTCAAATCCAAAGCATTTCCATTAGTTTCATCCACAGCTTTTATAACAACTTTGTCAGTCTTAAACAAAGTTTTGACATCAGTCTTATTTGCAACTGAATCTATACCAACAAGCACAGAACCATCAACGTTGTCAACGGATTTACAAACTCTTTCCTCGATTTCTTTACCCAGAGTCTTTTCAGTTGTTTCAGTACTTTCACCAATACTTTTATCACTTGTTTCAGTTTCTATGATCCCACTTTTATCAGAGCTTCCAATAGCTTTGTCAGCACTCTTATCAGTGACTTCAATAACTTCACCAACATATTTGTTTGTGGTTTTAACACCTTTACAAACAGTAATCTCAGTGACTCCTGTAGCAAAACTAAAAGATTTTTCGACAGCTTTACCAACAGTTTTATTTCTATCTGGCAATTTAACAGTAACGTGTTCAGCTGCATGGACAGGTCTTACATGAGTTTTGTCTGAACTGAAATCCACAGGTATTTGTACAGCTTTGCTTGAATTGAAAACAACAGATTTTTCTGAAGTTTCATCTGAAATAAAATTATCTTTATAAGTCTCGTGTCTCTCAGTAACTTCATTTATGCTGGCATTCACAGGTTCCTCAACAGTTGTGGTGTCTGCACTGTCATCCACAGATTTTCTGCCAGTTTTATCCAAACCTTTCACAACAACTCTGTCTGTACTAATTTCCACATTTATCCCAACACTTTTGTCTTCAATAACATTCACTGAACCAACAACCACTGTATCCCTAATAGTTCTGCCTGGTCCTTTAACACCTTTTTTAAAATTCTGGTCTGTTGAATGAGTCAGTACAACTGGTTTGTCTGTTTTAATGTCAGATATTAGTTCACTTGTTTTGTTTGTGGTAACAGCTACAAATTTTTCTACCGTATGGCCACTTAGACAACCTGCAATGTTTTCTTTACAAACTTCAACAGTTTTGCTAACTACGATATCCACAGCATTCTCCTCAGAGTCGTTTATAGTTTTATCAGTCATAATAACATCTTCTCCGACAATTACATCAGCTGACGGGGCCACTGCTTTATCAATGCCAGTACTATCTGTCTTTCCAAGAGTTTTGTTGACAGCAATTTTCTCAACAGTTCTATCTGTTGAGTTACCGAGAGATTTCTCAACAGATGAATCTGTAGTAACATTATAAGCCTCTCCAACAGGTATTTCAGTTGTATTATCCTTTGACTGTTGAAAACCTTTGTTAGGAGTTTTATCTGTTGTTTTACAATCAGTAACAGTATCCATAGGTTTATCAATAATTTTTTCTGAAATTGTCACTTCCGCTTTTCTGGCATACTTTTCTGTTAAAATACCAGTAACCTTATTAATACTTCGCTCAGTGGTGACATCCATTGTTTTTTCAACAGATTTGTCTGTGGTAATACTTACATATTTAGCTAAGTCACTCGGATTATCCACAGTTTTTCCAACATTTTTCTGAGTTAAAAAATCAATAACCTTTCCAATGTTTCTTTCAGGAGGATCCGCTGGTTTTCTCTCCACTTTATCCATATTAACGTCCTTTTCTTTTCCAAAAGTTGTGTTGCTACTGCCTTGAACCACTTTCCTCTCCATGTTAACTTCGGTAGATTTTGTAAGATTGACAGATTTCTCGCCAGTTTTGTTATTGGTAGTTTCTCCAGTCCTTGCAGATTTGTTATCAGCCATCACGGATACTACCACTTTATCTGTTACTGACTCAATTTTATCTGAAAACTGCAAGCAACCAGGACCAAAAAAGAATTGCTGTACAGGTTTTTTCTCTACTTCAATAATACTTTGGTCTGATAAAACTGTAGCATCAATATTACTCTTTTGTGTACTGCAAACAACTGGTTCATTTCCTGTTAATGACAATTTTTCTGGAGAAGTATCAGATAACACAGTTTCAGCAACTTCAGTTTTACTATTATGTGACTTTTGGGGAGAAAAACTAGAATGCTTTTCGACACTTTGAGCACAAAGAGGAAGCACAGATTTTGTTTTACCTGATGGCACAGCATCTCCTTGATGATCTTTTTCATTGTAGGGTTTATGTTCTGTATTTATGTGTTTACCAAACATTACAGATGACTCAGCATCAAATTTTGAGTCTACGCTGTTACTGCAGAAGAGTGAGCTGTCAGTGTCTCGGGCAACAGATTTTTCTACAGTATTACTACTTCCATTTCCTACATTGTGGCTGCCTGATGTAGCTTCTTTTGTACATACTTTCTCCTCAATCTCTAAGCCAGTCACAATATTTGAGGTGCTTATGGAAAACTTGCTTTCAGATGAAGAACTGACATGATCTAGTTTGTTGCCATATATATCATTTTCCTTTACTCTTCTAAATTCTAAATCCTTTGTTGGATGAACAGCAGCAGTAACCTTATGGTTGCCTTTTTCTGTTAATACACACGTCTCCCCCAGATTTTGCGATTTAGTTTCGATAATACCTTTTTTGTCACTTGCTTCTGCCTTGGTATCATCAGGTTTTCCAACATCCCACCTTGATGTCCTCTTTGGACTGGAAGTATCGCCTATAGATTTCTGTATAACCTGAACACCAAGAGACCATTTGGGTTTTGTAATATGTCCTGACACTTCTGGTTTCTGGGAGGAACCAGTATCAGCAGATTTCAAAACTGAACCAGTATTACTGTATGAATCTTCACTTTGAGGACTGCATATTGCCTCTTTTGATTTAGGATCAGGAGCACATATAGTTTCTATGCTCCAAAGTTTTGGCGGTGTTTTCATTGCAGAAATTTTTGAAGGTACCTCTAACTTAACTGAATCTGGAGACACCGCTGAAAAATTATCTGAAGAATTTATTGTGTTAATTGTCTGTTGAAGAAACCTTTTAGTTACAGGCAAAGGTGCTTCACTGTATTTAGTGGGTTCTAACTTTGTTCTGTCAGACTCAGTGTTGATACCGTGTTTCAAAGGTGGAGTATCAGAAACAAAGACTGCAGAACTCACACCACTGATACGTGGTGGTTCTACTGCTTTGGTAAAATCTATCTTCTTTTCCAAGAATGGCGGAACAGTTGGTTTGTCACATGATTTTAAAGATTCTGTTCCACAGACGGATATGGGAAATTCAGCTGCTTTGAGTGAGTCACAGTGTGTTACGTCAACCAACATTGGATTATCTACTTTAAAGGTGGTGTCTAATAAACCTCCCTTGTTCCCTGCTCTCTCAACAGACATTTGTTGAGTACTTTTCACCATAGACTCTCCTAAAGTGGAAGATGTCTCACACTGATCCTGTGACTTAAGATCAGAGCCCTTTTCTTGTCTAATGGCTTCTACTTCTAGCTCAAGTTTACTCTTTGCTGTTGGTTCCTCTTTAACAGTTGGCTCCTTTAGTGGTAGTTTAATGTTCTTTACATAATCCTCACTAACAATTTCCTCGCACACATTCCCTTTAGTTTCAATATTTTGTTCATTTTGTGTTGTTAAAGCATGATCATCCCTTCCACAGAATGAAAGACCTGAAGTCCCACTGGAAGACACTTGAACATCCACACCAGGTTTTTCAATTTGCCTTGACTGAGATGGACAGTCCCCACTTGATGTTTCAATATCCATGCCTTCATTTTCTGTGCTTTCTGGTTCTTTCCTAGAAACTGTTCCATCAGCATCTGCCACCGAACTACTTGGAATTGCAGTGTTTATTCCATCACTATTTGTAACATATGAACACTTACTGTCACTGTTTCTTAAATCATTTTGAGATGCTAATGAATGAAACTGCTTTAATTTTGTATTAATTGATTCCTTCATTCCCTTATCTTGAACAGCCATCTCAACTTGAATGCCATCATTGCTACTACACGAATTTATATTTGAAATCTCTGGAATTACCATGTTTCCAGTCTCTTTTTTCCTGGTTTCTTGCAATTCTTCATGGCATTTAGTAAGACTTCTTTCTTTACTCTGCAGTTTATGAACTTCTAACAATTTATGAACTGGAGTACCACCTAAATCTGTGTGAGAACAGGAAACAGTTTCATATGAATTTGCTTCAGAAGAGAAATTCTTTGGACATTCTTTGCTTGCTGGAATATTATCCATCACTCCAACTTTGGGGTTTAAAGCTGAACTGGACATACAAGTATTGCCTCTTGATACTTCTAGAAATGAATCAGATTTTGGAGCAGAATCTTTGTCTTCCAGCTCACTTGAAGCCGAGGCTGTAGGAACTACCTTCATAATCCCATGAGGAAAACTACTATCAAAGGAGGCTTTCATTACCAACTCTCCTGATTCTTCTGTTCTTTCATCACACTCTATTATATTTGTATTTTTAGTACCTTCTGTTTGAAGTTCCTTTCTTAATACATCTTCCTGCTTTCTGTTAGCACCTTCATTCACAGAAAGATTTTTCATATCACAAACAAGTGAAGAACTGCCTCCACCGCTCTCTTCCTGGCCATTCTGGCACCTGTCTTTCTCATTTTTCTCTGCTTCTTTTCCTGGGTTACCTGTATCACAATCTTTACCTGATCCTTCCCCCCAAACAAAAAGCAATGGTTCTTCTATAGCCTCTCCAACTTCTCCATCACCTATGCCATCTTTTCTCCTTTCTGAATTTCCCATTTTACAATCCTTCCCCAAACCATCTCCTCGGACCAACATCAATGGTTCTTCCACCGCTTCTCCCACTTCTATTGCACCTCCACTTGTTGCTGTTGAATCTTCCAACCGTGGCTTCTTTGCTAGCGATAAGGCTTCTGTATCATTTAAATCTCTCTTTGTTCCTCCACTTGTAGCAGTTTCTTTGGATTTATCAGCCATATACATCTCAGAAATCATACTTAAAGCAGAACTTTTTTCAATGTTTAAGACATTTTCAAATCTCTTTTCTTTACAAAAGTCAATGTATGATGTACTTGATCTCTTTGTACTAAGATCAGTTGCTTCACCTTGGCTTCTTCTACCACTGTTCTTACTAGATAAATTTATGGAATGCTTTACCGCTTCCCTTTGTACTACATAATTATCTGTTGATTTTGTAGTACTCAAATCACAGACTACGTCTTGATCTTTAAATTGGATGTTTGATTGCAACACATTATTTATCTTTTCATTTTGATAGCTTCCAGATGTTTTCTTACCACTTAAATCCAAACATTTATTTTCACCTCCACTCATTGAAGCATTAGTTGCTGACATGCTGAGATCAATTCCTTCCTCTTGATGTTCCTCTGTGTCTACAGTTGAATCTCTGATTCCATCTTTCTTTCCTGGATCTGTACTCCTAGTATTATCATGACTTACATCACTTTGTAACTCTTTCATTTTAAATGTAACTCTTTCCATATCCTCTCTTGTTCGTTCATTGCTTGATTTGTGTTCGTGCTGATCTTTGGCCTTCTCAATTGAGTGCACCTTCCTTATAGGTACAGATATTTTTCCTGCAAGCTCTTGACCTCCTCTCTGTTCCATGGAAGTAAAATAAATCTGTCTGAACGTGGAATTTCCGCTCATCTCCCTATCATCTCTCAATGTCTTAGTCCCTTCCAATATACTAGAATTTGTACATTTATCTAAAGAAAATAACTTCTCAACTGGCCTTAATAATACACTCTGCACAGATTTTGTCAATCCATCATCCTTCACACTGGTTCCAGCAGAAAGCTTCATGCCATTTGTTCTGTCTGCATTAGATGCTTCGTCTTTATCTCTAACTGTCGCAGTTTCTTCTCCCTGCTCCAAATCTCTGTTGAATAATTTATCTTTCTCAGAAGGAACAATGTCTGACGATGCTTTGCTATCAGGCACATGTGTATCCCTCTTAGAAACTGCTGTACTACAGTTTCCAGATTCTTGTCCTTCACTTGTTAAAGGTTTGTTTACGTCCACATATAACATATTTTCTGATATCAGAGATTCAGCCACCTTAATTGTATCCCTAACCACTGATTCAACCTGCTTTGATTTATCAGTATTAACATCTTTGTTAGAAGTTTCTGAAGATTCCTGATCATTCTTTGCTTCAGCATTAATAACAGGATGATAAAAATTCTTTCTTTCTTCTGCCAATTCACTGTTTGATGCATTTTCTGCTAACCTTATAATTTGTTGCTCCTGAACTGGCTTCCCACATACAGCATCTGTATTATCAATAGGAGCAGCATTTAGTTTACAACATGGAACTTCATTATTGTTATCATTCTTTGTTTCTTTCTCTGAAGACGTCGTAACTTTGCCACTCTTTCTTTGAAAATTTAACGGCTCAGACCCCAAACATCCTTTTAGCTCCTTCTGATGTTTTTTGTCAGACTCGTTCATCTCTTCATTCTCCTCCCCATCATCCTCCTCCTCTTCAATTTCTTCAAAATCTTCCTCCTCATTTTCATCAGCAGTGGGTGATTCAATTACCTGTCCAGTATCTGTTATAGGATTTTCAATCTCTAAACTGTTGCTATCTTCATTAAGAACTGCATCAGGACCATTACGAAATGGGTCACTGGAAGATAACTGTGAGATTAGCTGCACCAACCCCTCCCGGTCTCTGAAAAATAAAAAATCACCTTTCAGCTACGCAACACTTCAAGTGTCATTTGGAAACTCATGAAAACAAGAAAGGTCCAACTTGTTATACCAAACCATAGTGTTATATAAAAATGGCACTTATCTAGGAGGCTTATGCTCCTAATTTATTGCAAAGACTAATTACACATATTCAGGTTCTCTGTGGTTTTATGCTAAATGCCATACCATTATATCTGACACAATAGTATTCCAGAGACCATCAAAATACAACTAGAAATACTACACAATTACTGTATTTCCCCAATTTAGAGAAGCATTTTTTTCCACATTTTAAAATTTCTGAAACTGGGGTGCATCTTACATTTGATGGTGTATAAGAATCAATACAGCATCTTTTCTCCTGGAAACCTATTACTAAATCAAAGGTACATCTTGCAATCAATGATGCCTTAAAATTGAGGAAATATTACTTATTATATTATCATAGACATTTACCTCAATCACATACAAGAATGGAATCTTAAACTTGTTACTGCTATTTATATAAGAAAACTAGTCTAATAGGGGTCTGCAGTGGCCGTGCGGTCTGAGGCGTGGGCCTTGTGCCGCTTGGTCGCTGGGACCGTGGGTTTGAATCCCAATCAAGCCATGGATGTTTGTCCACGTTTTTCTGTGTTGTGCTGTCCTGTGTACAGGTAGAGGCCTTGTGACGGGCTGATCCCTCGTCCAAGGAGTCCTACTGAATGTCTATAGATCAAGCCAACAATAGTTGGGACCCGCAGTGCTCAGGCACTTGAAGAACGGGTCGTCCAAGTATCCAAGTACTAGTCTAATATATTTTTAATATTTTAAAAATGTAATGAGGAGCAACTTTTGCCATATATTTTAAATCTGGTTAACTGGATACTTTCTAGATTTTCTGATCCCTGATTTATATATAGTGTCCCAAAAAGATGTATACACATTGTAATATGGAATATTAACCTTGTGTGTACATCTCGTTTGGGACACCCTGATTGTGTAATATATTCACGCAACGTTTCTAAGATTCTATCTTGGAGAGAATCTGATGTAAATAACTTTCCTTTTGAAAAAATGAACTCAAAGACTGTGATAACAGCAGTGTTGACTAAAACCTAGCCACCTACAACATTCTCTCATTCAAGTGATACCCCACATTGTTACATTCTGGCAGGAATCCAGCCAGTATTTGGTGGCAGAAACTATTATACTAATATTCCGACACTCTCGGTAGTGATTAGAGACACCAATTTCCTGACAAGACTACGGGAGATTTACATGTCCTGGCTTATGACAGTACAAATTAGACATGACTGTCAATAGTTCTACAAATTCCTTATTAGAAACGTGACAAAACAAGGCAGTATTTTTCAATCCAGTTCAACATATGTCAATGGACAAAACTGTTATACTTTTACAGAAGAACTCCTATTCAACAAAATCTATTCCACATTAAAAAGGTGACCAGATAACAATTAGAGGCCAGTTTACATGAAAAGATTTTTGTTAAGAGAGAATAGCGACTTCAAAGACCTTTCATAAACCAAGTTGTTAAAATTTACATAAAACTTGAAATTAAAGTATCTAGCTAATTCTGACATGGGTCCTGGTAATACAAAAGTAAAATATTGATCATTTAACACTATGAAGATCATTCTTCTGGGTTGTATCACCATGTAGTCTAGTAAAAGTTTTCCATTGTTTCAGAGGCGTTTTCAGCCTTCATCATCAGGGCAATGAGTGCCCTGAGCACTTCAAACAACCTGACTAATAACAGCACTACTATTTCTGAAGACAATATATAAAAGAAGAATAAAATTTACATCATATTCATAAACAGACAAACCACTGAATAGTATAACATAATCTTAAGCCAAGTTCAATTAATTAATTTACCTTGCAACCACCTCCCAGGTTTCATCATCCAAGTCCTCTCGGTAGACTCGGAGATTGCAATCGTCATCAAGTTGACACCAATATGTCTGCCCTAGTTTGTCCCTACCAAGAGACTGTGATCGTAGTTCCTCAGCACTTAGACGATTCACTTCTGTCTTGAACTTGCTGTTCAAATCAAACTGAAGTTCTAGTAGCATCTGCATACAGATATACATTCAATTTATGCCTTGTACACACAAACACAAGTAAGTAAAGTAAAGTAAAGTTTGTCCTGCTACGTGCCATAAAGGCACTTGGGGTGAGTGGAGGTATAGCTCCTCTCTTTCTTGACCTCGGCACTAGATGGGGGTGAGTGGTTGGCATCACGCCCCGGCCGGCTTTATCCCTGGGAATGGACCCCGGTACCCATTGTACACAAACACAAGTACACATCATAAAAAAATTAATCATACTTCTTTGCCAAGTATTTCATCAGTATTTCAACTGTCAGTGTTACGTATTAACTGTAAATAATAAAACAGAAAAAGTGGGAGGAAAAGGTTGGGCCTGTTTTAAGGCACTATCCCATAACTTATCTGCAAGGACTTAGAAAAATCAAGAACATCTAAGTCATATTAGTCCTAGAAGCTATATCTTCACTCCCCATACGTCTATGCACAATGTGGAATGTACTTAAGCATCAGAGACAACTTTGCACAATATATTGCGGACAATAAATAGCACAGGTAATGAACAATATCCACCTTAAGCCTCTGTTAGTAGCTATAGGTTCTAAACTATCGATACACTGTCAAATTTCCAATAATGAAACTCATATACCAAGTTTTTGCCATGAGACCATATTCAAAACCCTGGTTCCTACAGGACAAATTGTTTTTATAACCATAACGTTATATTGGTGGCAACAGCAATGTGTGTCTTACTAAAGGAACTAATTTTTAAAGGACAGAGAATAGGGGTGTCTCCATGGAAATTAATATCATTTTTTTTATAAACATAGGTACTAGCGATTATTTAACACCGCAAAATATCCCTGCTTTGGACAATGACAAGAGTTTCTAGAAATGTAAACAATCAGAACCAACCACACCAATTTACACAGTAAATGTTAACATAATATCTATGAGTTACTTTCATGCAGACATAATGAAATGTAAATATTTGTATTACTTCAATGCAATAACAAAAATTCACCTTTAAGATTCGTAGTTTCACAGCAAGACGAGCCTTCTTATATCCAAATCTTTCAACTTCCCAGCCGTCCTGGTTTGAATATGAGTGACAAAACTTTATTAGTGCTCGTTCCCAGCGTTCTCCAGATACAGATTTCCGAGCCTTCCTCAGTAATTTCACGTGAAGGTCTACCAATGGCTGAGAAACTAAAATCAGTGAAAATAAATATATTATAAATTCACCTGTCACCTATAGCTCCATGTTAAGATACTCATTACACTAGACAATAATGGCTCTAAAACCATGTAAAAAAGTCACATCCCCCTATGCTCTCTATAAAACTATAATATTTACATTCTTATACACACAAGTTTCCAATCTTCTAGCTCTGTAATTCTTAATATTTCATTTACCTCACTGGGAAGCTTATCAAAGTGCATTAACAGTTAATAGTTATGAACTCATACTATGTTTAGATATTCTCTAATTGTCCTGTGTGTAATTTTATACCCAAAATTTTCTTCTTAAAAAATCTATAGGCTGGAAACAAAATTCTGGGATGTGACAAAGATTTAATTTGTCACTCACTACAATCAGAATCAAAACAGTTTACACCTAAAAACATATTACAAAAACAACAGGAAACAAAACACTAGCATTCGGTGACATATTAACACAAGAAGAAGTAGACTCTCAAATACCTGACCTTCGGCTTTTGTGGAAAGTACCTGACACATGGTATTAGTTTTCCAGTTTATTTACGAATGTTAGAAAAATTGCTGACACATCAATACAAGACCTTTTAAGATTCTCTAAGATTTGTCTGGGATTAAGTCCAAAAAAGTGTCATACTTGTTTAAGACAGATGTTCTTAACCTTTTCATCACAACACACCTGAAACACAAAGAATCTCCCACGCATTTACCCCCTCACCATATTTTTTTCCTTCCTTCTAAATGTGATACATGACAGATATTAAGATACTGAAAACAACTTATGAATAAAGACAGTATGTAAACACACAAATCCCCAGAATCAGACACTTTCATTTCTGTAACAGTAAAGAAAATTAAACCTTACTAATACAATAATTCTTCAATCTGTGAAAAACATGTTCCGCTGCATACACAGCTAAAAGCACCATATATTTAACAATAAAACCGCTATTTATGTGATGATGGTTATCAAATATTGCATGTACATACCTCAGTCCTCCCACATAGGCGCAGAAATTGGTCACCCTCAGCATATACGCACAACTGGATGTGATGCTCCAAACTTTCTGGAGACTAGGTTATCTCAAAGGACCTCTGGCTGACAAGGTTCCCATACTTTTTTCCCATGAAACCCACTGAAAGGATGTTCTACACAAACAAAACTCACTACCTCAAACAAAACATTCTTAAATATGCAGTAACCATTCCTGCACACATGTTATAGCATATATTTACCAATTTGAAGCACCACATCCAGTTGTGCAAGAACTGGGACTAACCTCTTCCAGGACAGGATCAGTTTCAAAAGGACATGTAAAAAGGACACTTAAATTCTCCACGGTAAGCAGAAAAAAATAAAGAACTTTACTACATGGCAATCACTAACAACCATTTTTAAAAATGGTTATTATCTCCAACCTAATTAATCTGTCACAAATTAAGTTTCTCGAAGTTGACTGGTCACTGTATTACAAAGTTATATAAAAAACAAAAAACTTTACCTGTGTAATCATAGATAGCTGCCATTTAATGTATTAAAGCATTGTGTTTAAAACAGAAAACACACATATATGCTAAAACCTTCCTAGTCCAAAGCATATTACTTTGATTAGACGTTCAATTATCTCAAATAACTTAGAAATAACCATTTATCATGGCTATATTAAGATATGCCCAAGTAATGTCACCCACTGACAGACGTGTCATGACATTTGTTTTTATTCATTTATTTACTTATCTGTTTCTAGATTATTTAATGGTGTCGTAAGTAGCTCAGACTACACAGCATCAAATGTGAGGATGACACTGAATAATTAATTGTAAAAGGGTGTGGATGGAAGCAGTTGTGGTCTAATTTAAGGTACTATCCTGGCATCTGACTGGGGAAACTGAGGAAAAACATGAAAAACCTCAGTCAGGCTACCCAGTCTCCAGGCTGATATTTAAACATGGGACTTCCAAAATATGAAGGAGTAATAGCCACTTAACCACAGTAATCAGTCTTTTATTTTTCATTTTGTTTTGTGACTTCATTATTTCATAGTAGCTAATAATCCTCTGGAACTGTAGCAAAGTTCAAATATTTAAGAACAATGTCAACAAATTAAATTGTGAAGAATTTCTTCACCAGATGAGTATACTGTTACCTTCTCAATGACTCTGTTCCATACAGTTAATTCTATAAAAGAGATACTGATTTGTAATTTGATATGTTTTGTCTCCTTTCTTATGTACGGACTTTATAGCTGACCATTTAAGTCTGTATGGGAAAATTCCTGCAGCTAGTATAAAGTGTAGTGTCATTTTGCTTTAAACGATTTAACTGTATGCAAATTAAATTCAGGAAAAAAATGAGTTGGGTCTTATAAATGCTGGATGAATTGAACTGGAAAAGACTATTAGAAAGAATTTGTATATTTTTATATTTGACGAAAAACCGCCCAAACTAACAGGTACAGGCAGATATCTTCATTTGTTTCCAAAGTATCCTATTAGGGATAACATGGACAAAAACCTGAATAAATTCATAATTCCCGCTCTTAACTTTTGAGCATTTAACAGTGATGGCAGCACTATTACTCTTGCGGTGTACGTAAAATGTCATCACACAATTTCACTGCGTTTACGACCCACAATACATCCAAGTGTCCTAGAATTCAAAATAACTTACGGTTTGGATTTGTCTCTATTAATAAGCATGTTACAATTCGCATACAAACCGTTTTGACAAGCACAAAAACAAACACCTTTCATTTTTGTAAGGACGCTTTTGTCAAAAGTATATACTTTCTAAGATAACATAATGCTAACCTTCTTGAGAATTTTCCAACATTTCCTGAAGATCCATGAAATTTGGATATGTAATTCCACATGATTTGGCAAACTTTTCTAGAAACGAGCAAATAACTGCAAAATTTGGGTCACAAACACAAGATGCTTCATTATCAGACGCCATTTTCACTCGCTGTACAGACTACGTCGTACAACACTTTTGTAATATTTAAATAGGAGCATCAGTTACGTATTTACGGGGTCCAGTGAAACATAATTAAGTGTAGCTTATTTTTATATACATTCAAGCATCAATAATCAAATGCTATTAAAAAATCATTAATATAATGAACTTGGGTACACATCTGATGGAATTGGTTCAGAAATCCGATATTTCAGGCCGTAAATTCTTCTGAATTGATGTGAATCTTAGATTAGTTCGCCGGGTAGGCTGTTGGTGCTTGTTTGGTGGAAATATAAAATGGAATTGTGTAAAAATGTAATACAATCAACTGAATGATAATGGGAAACTTCTTTAACTGTGCACTCTGTAAGTGTGTAAAGACTATGAACAGTTGCGAACGAATGTAACTACAATTACTGCATCGGTTTCCTAACCTGTACTGGTTTTGGATAGTATTTATCTATGCTAAAGGTTGTGTTGTCGATGGTAGTTCGCAGAGAAAAAACTAATAAAATTATTCTAATAATAGTCAGACATTGTCTTTGCCGAAAAAAATCTAACCATAACCGCTAGAAGGTTTAAGTGATCAATGCTAGTTAAGAAAATAATCTATGTTTACTCTGAGAATCGTATAAAACCGATAAATAGTTACGGGCAAAACGCAGAAATACAGATTGCTAAATCAGGTGGTACATATAATAACCTCAAAGCTTTAAAGAGGGACTTGTTTATATTATTTTCTGTTAACTTTGAAAAAGTTACAGTGGAACCACGGTTCCGGAGAATTTGACGTAAATACGTCTATACGGTAAGGAGTTTATATAGTGGCTTTATTCCAAATATTTTCTTTATACACGCTTTACAATTGATTAAAGTTTGAGTAAGACAGTACTGCCTACTTTGAATTAGTTACGCTTAAGATAGGTCTGTGGTAGCTGAAATCTAGTCTACGACGCACTTCTTCTACAAGCGTTTCACAGTTCAGCTCTTTCTGCAATAACGAAAGCTGATTGTTGACAGCAGTAATGTAACACAACAATGCCGAGTAAACAGATGATATTTCCTAGGTAACCATGTTACACATTTTCCTGTCACTTTTTCGTAACGCTTTTTTGTGGAATGACCCTTCAATATAGACGTATTTACGTCAAAAAAATTCAAATATTTGTTGTTGTGTTATTTGTATCAAAGTCAGTCACATTGGCCTCTTGGACAAAGAAATCGTGAGGTCGAATCCTTTTCGAGTTATGGATCTGTTATGCTGCCCGATGGCGTAATTTGTACTTGCATAAGAGTCTGAGCACAACATATGCACTGATTTAATAATAGCCAACCTGTTAGACAATATCTGTTGTTATACTCTTTAGAATTTTGATACATCTGAGACTTTGTACTTAAAAGTAAATTACTTTCATAAAGTTACTAAAAATACAGTATTGAAGATTGATGTTCTTATGTACTAATATGTTTTTGGTAAATACAAAATTTAATTATATTTACAAAGTACAGGTTTAAAATTTTCCCATGAGACCATTCATAAAAGAAGTTGTACATCCTTGACTCAAAATCTATTTCTTCTTGTCAGTACCAATGTAATAATTCTACAAAAGGGAATTGTCACAGTAGAGATCCATATGAAATGTTTCATATTATTATGGGTCAAGCTTGATTATTTTATTCAGCATAATAAATACTTTTACATGCTGTCAAATATTATTCTTCAGTTACTGCATAATTGTGATAATGGCAATCTGTACTGTGAGCGTGGTTCTGTTCAAGTCCATTTGTGTTAAGTGCGGCTTAAAGATGGTTGCTGTACTAGAGGTTTGCTCCTTTGGAAGGCAACATTAATGCCCGGTCTTGCAGACATTTCTGCCTCAGTTACACTATTTCTAAGAATCATTCCTTGAGCACATGTTTTAGTAGGATTTTGACAGCATTTCATGTTTTGTTTGCTTGTGGGCATGTTGGGAGTCCTTACCTGTCTGCATCAACAACACTGGTTCAGTTGCTTTTAAACATTTTGATCCACTCATACACACTTCATTGTGGCAAACAGTTCTGTCCATGGTCGGCAGCCAATTCTCAATAGATCCCCGCCCCTTTCATTTGTTCACACACCATGAAATACATACACTGTTGCCTGTTGTTTGTCCTTGATGCAAACTTCTAGTGGAGCAGACATTTATGCCATGCTCATTTGACACAGACAGATGACTGAACCAAACTTGCAGCATGTCAAGGCTTCAGTAGTGTTGGCAGCCATATAATGAAAATATTCCAGTGTTGCCCTTACTTCTTTAAACTACTCTGTATCAACATCCAATTTTAAAAGTCTCAATCCCTGTCATGTCTGTCCTGCATTCAGTGTCCCCACATTCATTCTGTGCCTCCAAATGATGTAATATCAAGGTGAAGAAAACAGGAACTTTCAAATTTTGTAAGTCTTTGGGCCCTTTTTCTGGCATGTGCATTTGCTGCCTTCCTTTACCTGTCATCCAATGTTTAATCATATCTGAGGTTAACTCTGTATCTCAGTACATGCATGAAGAATGCAAAACTTTTATGGTTGCAGTATTCTTCTCAGTAACTTATAGTTCCAAGTTTTGGTTTTCTCATACTATACTCATTATTTTATGAAAGTGATAACACAATCACTAACAATCATACTTACAAGTATCCCACATCTTAAATGCAAATTTTGAAATGATTTATTGGTATAAGTGACTCTTTCCAAATGCATTTTATTCGAGGGCTGGTCCTACAAACTTATAAGATGTAAACTGCATGTGTATGATAAACAAGAGGCTTATTACTTTGATTTCAGTCATTTGTCTCATAACAATCCAGCAATGTATCCTATATAAACAAGAACAAAAAATAAATACATAGAAATCAATTTTGTACAACCCACTAATACATGCACTCACATTCACTGTTCATTCATGTACTGATGGAAATAATGGGAACATTATATAAAATACATTCTTTTAATAAAATACTATCAATTTGATTTTTCATATAATTTCCTTTCCAGTACACACTACCTCTGGGAACCAATCCACTTCTACTGATCAAAGAGGACTCACAGACATTCCACCTAATTAGTCACTCCTGTTAACTACCAATTTCCAAAAAATGGAGATAGACCTTATAATTTGTATTAAAAGCATTGCACTTTCCCTCCAATAACATCACAGCAATTCTCTTCTTAAACCAGAATTTGACAATGTACATAATGCAGACTCAACATTAAGTATGCTTACAAGAGGCATCACACATGAATATGGTGTACATTTAAGAAAGTATGTACCACAGATTTATCTCTACAAGAATCACACTAATTATTAGATCTTGCACATCAAGAATCTGGACCGGGGAAAAAAGACACTGCTGTTGAGTTATGTAATTTTGTTTCACTAGCAACAAACATAATCTTACAGTTCACACCAAAAGCAGTCCAAATTTTCCTAAAATATACTTACATTCTCAGTAAAAAGTAAAATCAAAATGTCAAACTAGATACAATACTTTGATGCCATCACTTTTTAATCACTTTAATAGAAACAATAATATGTTATAGAACATTTACAACTTTCATAATCACTTATCTTTTTTTGTATTATTGAGTACAATACAGTTTTGAACATCTATCAGGATATTCAAATATTACAGTATTCATTATTTCCCTGAGATGGTCTGAGATAATATTATCCACCTTCATATCAAAGGTTACATAAAATTAATTTAAAATAATGACTGAACATAAATAATCACAACTATAGTTCTTCATTAGCACTAAATCATGTATGTGGACAAAAGTTAATATCTATAAATCATTTCTGCAACAACTCTTACGAACTTAAGTACAAAACTACAAAATATCCAGTGAAAATGATTTAAAAAAAAGCATGCAAGACTCAACAAGATCTATTGCACCATTTCCACCATTTACAAAAACAGTATCACTACAGAATTGTTTTTTCTGCACAAAATTCCAAACTAGGTACTCTCAATTTTTTCTTAAACCTAAAGCTGTAAAAAAGGAATCTATTATAGAAATTAACTTCTATGTCCTAAAGAAATAGTCATGGATAAGTCATCAAAGCAAGTTTTGTCTCGAAGAAAATAAAAATATATATACTTTTGTAACTTCCTTATTTAAAATTCAATTAAATTGCACATTCCATAAATTACATTAAACAACACAGCTTTGCCATTATATGAAACATCATCAAAACAGAACTCTGTGTACAATGTCACTATAGATACTTTAACAGAACAATCTTGTTATTGTACACCTTTGTTTTTGGCATGTCACAATCTCCAAAAACACAATAATGACAAGATATTTTGTGACTTTTTCACAAACTAACAATATTCAAATTCACAAAATCAGAACATAACTTTTCAATGTAATTTACGATAAGTTTGTACATATTTGCACAAAAAGTCATGCCTATAGCAGTGCATCACTAGTTTTGCGTTTCTTATAGCGTTAACAACCCCTGAGGTCATCTAAAGCTGATCGTGACCTTCTCGACACCTAACAGTTGTCTGACCTTTTCGTTATACTTGACTAGCGCCACTTTGGATGCACGGATATTTATCTTTTCACCACCGCATGATACGTGACAGCTGCGAGCCTGTTCTAAGAAGTCTGCCATTTTGAACTCACGCAGCACACTTTTTGCTTCTGCACACAGCTGTCGTAATAAAGCATCACGTGATTTGACATGTAGCAACTGTGTCAAGTCCTGAAGCAGAACCCATCTCTCTCCTGGCGGTTCACAACGAAGACGATACAGCACTGGAAGTGACAATTCGCTTGTCTCCATATCTACACCACTTTCCTCAGGGGGTTCAGGAGATGAACATGGTGGATCTGACAATGGATCATATCCATTCTCTGGTGAATCTGAAACAATCACATATGTGTCAACCATCTTGACTATGGCTACTACAAAACTGTGTTTAATGTGTTTTTGTATCTTATAGCTGAACACTTCAAAATACCATGTAGAGGAAGTCCACACAAAGTTATATTTACAGCATGTTTATCACCCAAGACAAGCCTGTGTACCAACTATAAAGTTTCTGATGAAAAAGTACTAAATTTACAAATGAACTATTCATTTATGTTCAATATAATACTGTAACGGGGGTCCGCAGTGGCCACGTGGTCTGAGGCGTGGGCCTTTTGCCGCTTGGTCGTTGTGACCGTGGGTTCGAATCCCACTCAAGCCATGGATGTTTTTCTATGTTGTGTTGTCCTGTGTATTAGTGTTCTGTCTGAGGACAGGTCCATATGACCAGGATCCTTCCATCCTTTTCTCGGACTGGGACCTGTTCATATACGTTCTTGGCAGATGATCCAGAAGTGGTTTGCCATTGCCTTCTTCTGTGTGTGAATGGAGTAATTGTTGGGATGCCACAGAGAAACCGGGGAAGCCTCCGGAGGAAAACTCCGTGTTGCCTAGACCACGGCCTTGCCCAACACAAGTTATAAATTCGGTCACCGCCGGGAATCGAACCCGAGACCCCAGGATTACAAGGCCAGCGTTCTAACCGCTAGACCACCGTGGCTATTCGTTCCCAGTATCCCAGTATAATACTGTAACACTCCCCTGCATTTGCACCCACCTACATTTTTAGGGTACTTTCCTTTCTTAAAGTAAAAAAATTAGGCTTATGAGATCAACATTGTGCCTGTCAGCCTCACTGCTTTGAATTTTTAAATCAAATGGCTGGACTGACTTTCACAATAGGTGGTATGAATATTATATCATTGGCAGCAAACATAACCTTGTAAATATTAATTTCTTTCAATCAACATGATGAACATAAAATACCAAAAGCATACATGTTAACTGTTTTCATAATTTGGGGTCAAGTATGTGGTCAGGAAGCACAGGACAAATTTCTTCATTTACATAGTTTCTGTATTTAAATGTGGCATTTAGACACTTTCCTGTAGCAGCTTTAATTTCATCTTAACATTTCTTTAACTGCAATTTATATTAAATTTTATAAAAGCAGTAATGCCAGTTTACTTTTTCATTTCAGTTAATATGAAGAAGATTCAGTTTAATATTATGGTGAACGCTGCTGTAAACATCTCACACCTAATATTTCTCCAGTTTTCTCAGCATATGAAATTGAATACTTGTGTTTCTCGCCAAGAGTGACAGGTCTTAAGTTACAAATCACATTAACCGTAAACTTTACTGTATCTGATGCGACAGACTTGAGGCAGTCAAATGGAGAGTTAACACATACCACACCAACTTGCAGGACCTTGGAATGTCCATGGAGGAGCTGGTTGTCCTTGAACATCAGCTAGGTGCTGCTGCAACAATTTTCGTGCCTCGTCATCTTTCGTTAGAGACAATGGTGTGTGGCCACTGTATGTTGCCAGAAGAGGATCAGCTCCATACGATAATAACAGGCGAATCAGTTCTGTAAAGCCATTCTCAGCAGCTTCATGCAAGGGCCTGCGAATACAGACAAAACTCAATTAGTAACATTTAATCTGTCAAAATGTTGTATTAGAAATTATATTATCTTACTGAAAACCAGTTTGAGTAACTGTAAAACAGAAAGGTAATTAATAATGCATACCAGTCTAGACTGAAAGGAAAAAGACACTATAAAATAAATATTCAAGCTTCCTTTCATGTGTTACTTCCTCAAGAAGAATCTTGTCAAGTACAACAGGACCATCTGACAAAACAAAATGTGTATCTGGGAAAAAAATGCAAAAGAAATCAACAATAATGATGGCAATGTTGATGATGCTATTCCACTTTTTTTTTTCTTTTTTTTTCTTTTTGTTGCTGCTGCTGTAATTACAGAGGTTATTCTTGTAGTTGATATTTTTATTTTAAGCCCCTTTAATACCTTTAATGTGTCCACTCAGACATATAACTAAACATTTTTATACTATTCAACTGAGTTTGGGAATGCAATGTTCACATATCCCTTGGAATAATATGATTGTACTCCACCATGTCATTAAAGTGCTTGATGATGATAAACACATTTCCTTAGGCATAAAACAAAACTTGCAAATATTAAAAACAGACCCCTCTCCATGTTAAAAATGTTTTCCTCGTCACCTTCACTGATATTGTGCGCATACAAGAACAAAATTCGCTTTTACACCAATGCAGCATGTACTTCGGCAAAACTCGGCACAACTTCGGGCTCGCAATCGTCTTCTTCCCTTCCTCACCGCTCCAAACCCCTTTCGTGATCTTCACACAACTCATCAATGGTATCGACTCCATATGTAACAAGCTCGCTGTGCATCGTTCGGTATAATCTCTAAAGCGTTCATTTTAAGTTCTAAAAACATCGCGTAAATTTCGTTACAATTTCTCAGGAACGATCAGTGCGGGAATACTGTGGGCCAGGAATATGACTTTTGAACGATTGATGCGATAAAAGGGAGAAAACGTAACATTATTTTTTATGGGACTTATCAAGGACTGAACAAAACAGACGATACATCCGGGAAACGATGGATAGAGATTTCACAAATATGAGACCTGTATTAATATTTTCGATTTCCTGTTCACTTCAGTGGGCCATTCTGTGGTGCTTATATTTTCGGACACACAAATAGCCATACTAATATCTACAGCTTTACACGTGTATCAACAAACTTACCTGATTCCCCCTAGAGCACTATCACTAACATTAGCCCCATACATGAGTAGGAGTCTGGCTATTTCCAAATGACCTCGAGAACATGCTTCATGCAGAGGTGTATAACCTGCATTGTCACGTGGTGATGGCGGATTGTCTAATTTCTCCAGGCAGTATGCAGCCACATCCTGTAGAATAAAGTAATTATCAACTAGCATCACACAACCCCAGCCTAAAAGTTAAAGTACTTTCTGTGAATGGTTCAATGGCTGATGATCCATCACATTAGTTTATGATTCGATGGCTGCCAACTTAAAAGAGACTGAATACTTTTTATCCAGGTAATACATAGGATAATTACACAATTTGTTATTTGTACATTTATACACAGCTTTAAAATTATAATTACATGTGTTCTTTGCAAATTCTGAATATCCCTAGCTAAAATAAAAATATATACTATATTATACAAATTCTACACAAGCATTATCATCAGTAGTGTCCATATAAGTGCAAAGATTATCTGCAGGCAATGCAAAAAACTTAAATTTAAGATAAGATTTATTCCTTAACTCTTACCTACTTATCTCCTTATTAACAAAACAAATGAGAAAATTGCAATCTAAAGTACAATCTTTTTACAGCTTTCACTGAATTACAAGAACATACAATTTAATCCCCCCCCCCAATCTCTACTGATTCCATTGTTTATCGGAAACTGATTGTTACCAGAACAACACAGATTAAGAAAGATTACTTGACTTTGTATTAAAAACTGATCAATAAAGACGATGTATAGCCTACAATATATGCTGATGTGTCTCTTGACCTGTTAGTTTTTTAAAGAATTGTTATTAATGAAAGATAACATCAATTATCTTACTTAAACAACTTTAGTTTCTAACTATATGCATCATGAATTCTCGGATGTTTCACCTTAATGAACCTTAACTTGTACACGTTTTACTAATAGTATCTGATAAATTAATTATTCTTTTCCCTAGAATGCACACATACCGTATATCCAAGTCTAGCTGCTCGATGGAGCAATGTCTCTCCTAGCCCTTTGTTGATCACCCATCCACGAATTTCTGTCTGTATGTCTTGAACTGACTCGGAGCTTGGCCTTGGGAATGTACCCTGAGTACAACAGAAACACATTTTAATGACGATATATTTATAGACATCAGCTCAATGCATTCATTCATATATCATTTGAAACAAAGTTCGAGCTTTTGATACAATTCAATGTTAGCTCTGTCATATAAATCCATATAAAACTGTGACACAAAATAAGCTACTGCATGTCTGAAATGAGAAAATGAGAAATTTAAAGATGCATATGAAAGTCCTGTTGCCCTCGGTGGACTAGTGGTTAACATGCTCGCCACTGGACCCAACGTCCGCGTGTTCAAACCCGGCTGAGGTCGAAGGATTTTTAAGGGTGATAAAAATCCGTAGCACAAATTCCTTCGGAGGGGAAGTAAAGCCAGTGGTCCCATGTCATAGATTTACGACATGTAAAATAACCTTACGAGCATGAAACAAGATGTTTCGTAAGCAAAATTCAGCAGCCATTTCTCACCTGTCTCTCCTGATTCACTATTAGATGGCTCTAGCAGTCAAATCAGGACTGAGTATAAATTGTGCAGAGGCAGTGGGGCTGGTCACTCACTACTCACAAATGCATGCTTCAAAGACTAGGAAAACCTCCGAAAAGGAGGTGGCCAAGACCCACGACTGGCTGGGTTGTAGAGCCAAGAAAGAAGAATATGAAAGCCATACTAAACAATGTCAGAGCATGAATCGCATACCAACGAGAAGCACAGAACTTGACTTAAAATGCTTAAGAACAGGGCCTCAACATTTGAAGAAGAAAAATGCAACACTAAGAGACAATGAAAGTTAAGAGTGTCATAAAATTAATCAAAATTATTAAGAAAGAAAAAGAATTTGTATCAATAAAAAAGGCTAATCTTCATATTCAAGGACATAACACTACCTTAAATAACTTTCACTATCATTCAGTATGAAACATGTTACATGTACTGATGCAGTGCACCAATGTTTGTTATATACAATGAGGAATACAAAAAAAGGTGCCAAGTACAGAGCCAAGCATTAAAAGGTACAGCATTCTTTCGAAAAAAAATTTAATGGGGAAGTAAGATAACCAGGGGAAGAAAAAAACCTCCATGCAGGATAGCTGTCTCCAAGTTGAGATTAAATTTCATGAAGATTTCTGGGTTGTTGCGCTGTGTAGTCTGGTCGATGTTAACCAACATTTCAGAGGTCATACTGCCTCCGTCATCAGGGCGAAGATTAGTACTGATGTTTCAGAGGTGATCCATCCATTAGGTAACAGCCCTGATGATGAAGGCAGCAAGTACCTCTCAACTGCTGGTAACTTCTACCATACTACACAGCACAACAACCCAGAAGACAACAATCTTCGATTTGAAGTTTGTTCTCCCGGTCATCCACAAATAAAAAATTTAAAAGAACTTACATTCGCAATTTTATGTAAGTGAGTGGACACATTACTAATTGTAATATTAACTTCTTGTTCCACTTAGAATCACAAGATAAAATCTCGGTACAATATTTATTTTAAAAAATACCTTTTTCTTCTCTTTATTTCCTTCTGCATCTCCTTCTCGTTTCTGTTGCTTTTTCTTCTTACGAATGTAGTCAAACCCAGAACGAAATTTGCGTCTTACAGTACGAAGTTTGATGCGTTTGCCATTGGGGGGTACCATACCATTTTCCATCTGTTGGCTTGTTGATGAAGGAGGAGATGCTGCTGTAGAAGCTTTGGTAACAGTGCTTTCCCGGGACACTGGAGGAACAAATGCAACTGGTTCATTAGAACCTAAACTTTTAGAAGCATCTTTGCCAGACAGTTTCTTTGAGCCAAGTGCACACAACAGACTGTGGTCTCGACGTAAGAGGCGACGTTTAGAGTTGAGAACCGCTTTGTTGCTGCGTCTCAGGCCAGCACTACGTAAACCCGGTCGACCACCAGTTATTGTACAGCTCCGATTCTTGCCCACTATACTAGCGTCTTGTTTGTGGATTCTTCTCTTCCCTTCTGTATTCTCACTCTGTTGAATGTCCAATATTTCTTTATGACATATTGGAGGAGCAGAGGCTGGTCGATCCTCACCAAATACTTCACGTATAGTTGCACGCTGTCGTAACACTCGGGTTTGAGTTCGTGTCCGGGATTTAAATACAATAGGTGCAAAGTTTTCCACAAGAATACCACCATTCTGGCGAAATGCATCACGGAAATTTGTAACAGTCTTCTTTCTGAAATAGCCCAAATACACTGACTCTTCAATATCACAGACAGGTTCCTTTTCACCTTTTGAATCCTTCGTGTCCTTTTTGCTTTTATGTTTCTTAGCCTGCAAGCTAACCCTTTTATTGTCAACCTTGGAATTAGATGACTTCTTAAATCCTATGCCAAGACTAGGAGTAGGCAAAAGTTCAGGTCCACTGGAGGAACGAGGAATAATGCGCACACCAGAACGTTCTGAAAGCCAACTTTTTTCACAAGACTTTTTACGTGGAGACTTGCTATGACTGTATTTTCGTACTAGAAGGTTTAATATTGAATTATTATTGTCATTGTCTGCATTATTCTTGAGCTTAGTTGACATTGTTGTTGATGATGTTGCTTCCTCAGAATCACCACCTAAGTCATCTGTCCTACGAGCATGGTGCCAAGAAGCAGACAAATTTGAGCTAGAATCAAGATCACTATCAGCCAATTCACTACGTACAGAACTCCACACACTCTGACAACGGTCAAGAGAGCCACCAGGATGAGCCAAGTGTCGACGCTGTAGCGTAAAATCTGCAGAATCCACAATAGAAGTTGCAGGAGAGTTAGGATATGGATCCAAATCTGGTAATGATGCCGAGAGCCTATGCGTATGTGGAGGACGTGGAATGTTGATCAATCGTGCTGGCATGCGCAGAGAGCGTTTAAACCGGTAAACCTCCTCCTCCCAGCCTGGTCGGAAGTCAGAGCCATCTCCAAACTGAGGCTTCTTCCTTTTTGAGCTCAATTTTCCAGAAGTCTCAGATTGTCTTTCATTCTCACTAGGTGTTACTTTCTGTAAAGTGCAAGCAGCCTTTGACCGGAGTCTCATTCCAGTGGATGCTCCACCATTTTCATCCTTCCCTTCCTTCCCCTGGCGTTTTCTGCGTCTCAGTCTTGCTGCCACTGTTTCTCCATGAATGTCACTATGCTCCCCATCCTCTTCATCATCACTGCTTATAACGCTACTGCTACTATGACTTCTGCTGCTGTTACTGCTGCTACTCCTCACGTTCTTAGATACTTCGAGTGCAATACTTTTATCTGCCCTTCCAAGACGTGCCTTTATCTCTGCTAAACTGATCTCATCTTCCACGTCACCATCACTACTGACCTTTTTCTTTGGCCGTCCTCTGCGTTTAATGAGGGGTACATCTTCATCAGAATCTTCTAATTTTGGTTTCTTCTCTTTCATCACAACATTCTCACTTTTCTTCTTCTCACTTGTCCTCTTTTCTCCTTCTTTTACTTCCTCTTTTGCTTCACTTTTCTCTGACTTCTTTTCATTCTCCATAGTATTTACCTCCATGTCAGTAATTTCAGATCTACTGTCAGTCTTATCTGGAATAGCTTTCAGTTCTGCAACAGTTTTCTTCCGTCGACATTTTCTTTTTGCGCCGCCCATACGAAGCTGTTCGAGGAACTTATCACAAGTCGCAGTCCAGAATGGATCAAGTGGAGACAATGGCCGAGATTCTATTTCTTTATGTGCTTCAGACATAGAAGCAGCAACCATCACTCCTTCCTCAGATAGTTCAATCATATCAGGTACTGTAACTGAGGATGCCTGCATCTGGTGTTTTGTGTGTGACTTTCTATCTCTCCTCATCTCACCAAGTGTCTGCATTTCAAGTACTGGCATTTCCCCTTCAGAGTCACTATCACGAAAATCAAACACAGATGTCTCTGAAGAACTACGTAATCCCGAGGAGTCTCTAGGTGGTGCTAATGAGCCACCTCCACTGGTTATACCACCACTATTCCCACTGACACACCCACCTGGCTCCTCATCTGGACGACTAAAGAGTCTCCTCCGTGGAGGAAATGCCACACGCTCACGGGTTAATTTCGGTGGACTGCCGCCACTGGAAGAAGCACCACTACCACTCTGTGCACCTTGAGTTTGTTGGATTTGGTTATGAGATGGTGGTGTCTGTTCTGAGACTTTGGCAATCTCTTGCATCTGCGACAGAATATTTTCTGACCCAGTGTCAGCAACTGCCTGCAAGGGTTGTGGCAGCGGTGGCGAGAACACGACTGGTGTGCCTGGTGCCATTCGTGGGGAATGCACTGAACTATTAGAAGCAGAAACCACACTAGAGGCTGGTGTAGGAGACCGGAATCGATGCTGCTGAGAACCACTGAGCTGTTCAAGACCAACCTAGACAGAATAGAACCAGAAACATTAATTACTCAAATGCCAAAGATCTGGATGGGCAAAATATTACTAGGTATTTTAAATGGGAGTCACCCTCGGTGGACTAGTGGTTAGCATGCTCGCCACTGGAACCAAGGTTCACAGGTTCAAACCCAGCAGATGAATTTTTAAGGGTGATAAAAATCCGAGGCATAACTTCCTTCAAAGGGGAGGTAAAGCCGGCGATTTACGGCATGAAACGAGATGTTTCGTAAGCAAAACTCAGTGGCCATTTCTCACCCAAGTCTCTCCTGATTCATTACTAGATAGCTCTAGCTGACAAATCAGGATTGAGTAGAAATTGTCTAGAGGCAGTGGGCTTGTCACTCACTACTCATAAATGCACACTTCATAATGACAAAGAACCCTCCCACATGGGAGGAGGCCAAGGCTCGGCTTTAGGCTGTTGAGCCATAGTCAGTCAGTGATTCACCCAGTTTAAATGGGAAGTAATAACTACCAGTTTCATACGATTCACAGTGATTTCCAGCACAGTACCTTGAATAAAGCCTGAAATTCCCACCATAACCCTCCCATCCCACCATTCATATCACGAAATTTATCTAACTCAAAGGCATATAAGCCATCACTCCATCCACTAAGTGACACATGACTGTCCGCGATAAAAAACAAATATACAAACTGAACTGTGTTCAATGAAAATTTAAAATAAAATTAAAGAACTCTAATGGCTATGGGGTCTGTTAAAAGGCATTACGCCATAAAAGATCAGAAGGTTAATACGTACTATTTTCTGAACATACACTAGTATTCTGATTATCATATGTAAGTCTGACATCTCACCTGTTTCAATTCCGCTTTGGTTCGGATGCGAGCCGCTAAATATGCTGCAACATCAGAATCCCCTGAACTGGAGCCATTACTGCTGACTGAAACACTATGATTGTTATCCAGTACATCAGTCCTCACAATTCCTGCAACGCTGCTATTATTAGACATTCTTGCAGTAACCATTTCAGTTTCTGCGTCAAAAGGTACAGATTCAACTGCTTTTGGAACATGAATTTTGTGTGTTTGAATCTGCGCTGCTTTCTGAGCATTATTCGTGTCCACCGTTACACCAAATGATGAAAGATTGCATTTCTCTGCGAGTGCCAGTGCTGATGATGATTTACGGTGTGCCAGCATCTGTACTGGTGATTCTGACAGGGGTGGGGGTTGGTTTGTTAGCTGATTGAGCTGCTGATACTGGTTACTCATCTGCCTGTTCTGATGGCGCAGCTGCTGTTGCTGTTGCTGGTGCAACTGGTTCTGCTGCAGCTGATTTTGCAACTCAGTCATCCTCGCTTCTTTGAGTTCCAAACTATTCCGGAGAATACTGAGTACTCGCTTATCTGCCATGCCACCTGTTCCACCTGTTTGTTGTTGTGGTAGTATCCCTGAACTTGGAGTTGTCAGAAGTCTCTGAAGAGCTTGACCCCTTGAAGGTGGAGGCTGCTGTGTCATGGGCTGTGGCCCCACATGAGGTGCTGGATATTGTTGATGACCAGGGTTAGGAACGTAGGGAGAGGGTTGTGGTGATGAGTGATAGCCATGCTGTCGTTGGTTTGTTGATGTGGCAGCAGTTGGTGCAGTAGCTCGGGGATGCCCCGAAGGGTATTGCTGATTTGGTTGCTGTGGCTGATGATGTAGTAATGGTTGCTGATGGTGATGGTGATGAGATGATGTGTACTGTGGATCATGGTGGGTACCATCAAGGTTTCCATTAACATGTTGCTGAAGATTTGAAGAATGTTGTTGCTGCTGCTGCTGCTGCTGCTGCTGCTGTTGTTGTTGTTGTTGTTGTTGTTGTTGTTGTTGCTGCTGCTGCTGCTGCTGAGCTTTTGATGAGGTATACGAAGAGAATCGTTGTTCAATCTCCTGATCTATTGTTTGTTTCCACGTGTCCAGGCGAGGAACTTTTGCGAGAGATGGGTGTCTTGTCTCACCGCCACGTTTTTGCCCTAGAGTTACTGAACTTGCTATATAACCTGCATTGTTCTGATTTGGCCCTCGGCTTTGGACATCCATTAATCGATTGCCCCCATAATTTTGCATGGGATCTGTTATCCTTTTAGCACTTTCATAGCCAGTTGAAGGGTAATGATTATTTGAGGATGTGGAGTACGGTGAAAGCACTGCTGAGCCAGGCGTAGAATTAGTATTGGTGTGCCGATGCTGTATCTGTGACACAGAATTATAGTACTGATGTTGTTTTTGTTCATAGGATTCTAGTACAGGATTTAATGCAGTGGAAGAATTTTTCTTAAAACTGCCAACATGTGGCAGTGATGTTACTGGTGACGGCTGAGAGTACAACTGATGAAGGGAATTTGTCCTTGCACCAGACCTCTGGTGACTTTCAGCCACACAGTTGCCTGCAGCCATTGAGTTATGCTGAGAAACTCCAAAGTTTGGATTAAAGTTAACTTTTGGGGCACCAACACTAGTGGTGGTAACTGCTGTAACAGGCACAGCTGGAGTGTTAGATGAGGTAGGCCTTTTCCCACGAGGATCAAGTGTTGGGTATGCCACACTGGAGGGAAGTTGAAGTGGCATCAGCACTGTGCCCTGCTGTGGAGTGTGACTCCCTGTGGAGGTTGCTCCTGTCTTTCCTCGTGACTGGTGATCCACTGTGGCTGGCGAGTAACTAGGCACATTATAGTTACTTTCCACGTCATCTTTCGCAGTTGAATCTGCTGACTGCCGAACAGTTTTTACAGAGAGATCTAACGGGGATTCACGTTTATTTCTGCCAGTTCGTAATGTAGATGCTGTCGATGTCAACGATGATGATGATGATGATGATGATGGCAATGTCCTCGGAAGTCCGTTGGCTAAAACGCTTGTGCTAAGTGGTGGGATGGCTGCAGGTTGCGGCCGCTCTGGAGCACTTTGGCTGTAGTATGCCTGGCAACAGGAAAAAAAGGCAAAATGTAATAATGCAAAACAGCATTTTATCTCAAGCTGCCATGCATATACAAATTTTAATCGAGTCCCGGTGGCAAATTCACTTCTCATCTTGTCTTCAAAGCAAATATAGTATAACAACGATGATAATTACAGCCAGTGGTGGCAGTGGCGGTAGTGATGACTACATGGGTCATCGAACTACTAACATGAAACTAAGCAATAAAAAAAATAAAGCATGGCATATTTCAAGTAAACTGAGATCAAGCTGGCCGGGGCATGCTGCTGACCACTCACCCCCATCTAGTGCCGCGGTCAAGAAAGAGTAGGAGCTATACCGCCACTCCCCCGATGAGCCTACATGGCATTAGTGGGACACTTTACTACTTGTACTTAGCAAATATCATCTTCTAAAGATAAAAAATTGACCAGAAAATGGCATATACATCACCAGAATTCTATATAAATGTAAAGAAAACACTATCCTCGGCTGGTTTGCTTAAAAAAAGAAATCATCATTATAAAATTCATTGTTTACTGCCCTTGGAGCAGAACCCTTGATTTGCATTTTGTAATCATCAAAGAAAGTAACTTCTCGGGTTAGCATTTATAGTGAAATCTATTAAAACAGAAACCTCTAAGAACTGGAACATAAAGATTTCTGTCTTCTGGGTTGGTGTAGTCTGGTCGATGTTAACCAACGTTTTAGAGGTCATACTGCCTCCGTCATCAGGGCGATGAAACGTTGGTTAACATCAACCAGACTACACAGCGCAACAACCCAGAAGACATAAATCTTCACACTCACCGCTGTGAAAACCTCAAATCTTACAACTGGAATATAGTTTCAGAAAAACTGATCAGAATCTTTTCTTCTATGTGGAATACCTGATTTGGAAATTGACGCTTCGATAAGTGTGTTTGTTGATGTTGGTCCGGCTTCAAATGCATCTCAGACTGTGCAGAATAAGAGGAACCACTCTGTGTATGATGAGGATGATAGGCATAGGGTTGTTGTTGTTGTTGTTGTTGCTGTTGCTGCTGCTGTTGCTGCTGCTGCTGCTGCTGTTGTTGTTGTTGTTGTTGCTGCTGCTGCTGTTGTTGCTGCTGATGATGATGATGATGAAGATGGTGGTGCTGATGCTGCTGTTGAGAGTGGTGAAGGGAAGACTGATATACTGAAGCGGAGGATGAAGTTGACATTGAAGATGAAATGGAAGTAGAAGCAGCTTGCTGCTGAGGCAATGGTTGTGAGGTATAATTATTATATGACGTAGATGTGGGTGGAGTCGTGCCAAGTTGCTGCTGTTGATATTTTGGTTCTCGATATAACCCGTAATGCAATTTACCCACACTACTGCTATTGACACCTGTGTATTGATTTGTATGATTCTGCTGTGGTTGAGGGGCGTAATCCAACTGAGTCCTCATTAGAGTCGTTGGATTAGCTGCTACCATCTTATTAGCGATGTGTGATGGCACTGACCCTGATGATGTATGTTGCTGAGACTGGTTCAGTCTATGCAAGGACTCTCTAGCATTACGAGAAGAATGGTAGTTTGGTAACGCAGCAATCGGTGGAAGATTATGGCCCTGTGGACGAGGGTGTTGTTGCATGTGATTCTGATGCTGGTAGTTTATTGTTCGTGGCTCTGCAACCGTCAGTCTACTCCCGTTGTACACTGTGTGTGATGCACTTTGTGATGGTAAAGATTCTGTTGGGTTCTTTGATGGTGAGTAGGGATGTTGAGCTTGTGATGACAGTGGACCAGGATGTGACACTGGAACTTCTTTGGTTCTCTGGTAGACAGAGTTAGTTGATGCTGGCGGCCAATAGGATACGACCGTGGAAGCAGATGAGGAAGCGATTGTTGCAACATTTTGCTGCTGTTGATGGTGTGTCTGTGACTGGGGTGGCAATGCTGCGGCAGTTGCGGGCGGTTGTGAATTTGCTGCGACAACACCGGGTCTATGGCTGACACTGTCATAACATGGAGTACTGCCAACTGTCCCAGTATCAGGATTACTGTATCGAGGAGAGTTATGGATGGCAGCCTCATTCACGCTGGAACTACCCTGAGGCGCCTGATAAGATGAGCTGCCAGCAGGGGAAGGAAGACCCTGGAAGTACTGTCGTGCGCCCTCCAACACGTTACTGAAGCTGTCCATCTCCCAAGGGGATTCTGAAATGTAGTACAAACAAAAGGATAGTTAGATACTGAAGAACTTCTTGCAGAAGAATGAAGGCAGGGTCTGGGATAAAATCAACTGTCAGATGCAAATAAATGAAAAGCAGTCAATGATCACAAATATTATTGCACTGGTTCGTTTCCCACATATCAATGACTGTCACATTTCATATTAACAAAAAAAGTAATTTTCACTTTGACAGAAAGTTCTTCTCGTTAACAGAAATAATCAATCACGTAACAAGCCTATGCCTATGTGATTATCGCAAACTGTGATGAGCGATAAATAATATCACCATTATCATGAGCAGCAGCGACAAAGAATTCAACCCAGCTGGTCTTACTTGCCAATTGAATTCAAACATTTTCAAATTAAGTATTTTCCATTCAAACCAGTGGAGATTGATAAGTAAACAGATATTTTTGTTCTTGGCAAGCAACAGTGCTGATGTTTGCTGCGGTGTGAGGGGAAAAAAACATAAAAATCTTCACCACGTCCGACTGTTTCCACAAAATTCGGCCGCAAGTGAATGTCCGTAATAGACCAAGATATTCAATTTTGCCACTATTATCCACGAAGACATATTTGAGGTCGTGAATTGTGCCCAAATACCGTGACAAAATTAAATAAACTACGGATATGCAGAGTTCATCCCTGATAAATTAAACCATAGCAATTTTCTTCTCAACCGTGGGGCACACGTCACACCTCCCTAAAGGGAGTTCGACGACATTCGTGTGCGAAGTGACGTAGCTTCCGCCAGAAACCAAACAAAAAGTTGTCAGTGGAACCACGGTTCCGGAGAATTTGACGTAAATACGTCTATACGGAAAGGAAGTTTATATATTGGCTTTATTCTAAATATTTCCTTCATACATTCTTTACATTTGAGATAAGTTTGATTAAGACATTGTTTATTTAACTTGTATTAGTTACGCTTAAGATGGGTCTGTGGTAGCTGAATGTAATGAAATGTAAGGTAAGGTAATGTATTGTAACGTAAGGTAAGGTAATGTAAAGTAAGGTAAGGTAAGGTAAGGTAATGTAATGTAAGGTAATGTAAGGTAAGGAAATGTAATGAAATGTTTTATAGGTAACAACAATGCCGAGTAAACAGATGACGTTTCCTAGGTAACAAAAATGCCGAGTAAATAGATGTTCCTTAGGTAACCATTATTGTCGATTTGTTGATAAACCATTGTTACACTTTTTCGTTTCACTTTTTGCCGAATCACACTGACCCTAAAATATAGACGTATTTACGTCAAAACTGGACTTGGGACAGTTTCTGACGTCTGATTCATCTAAATGCTCAGAGTAAGAGTACACACGTACTTGGGGTTTCACAACACATTCAATTAGATGCAGAAATAAAAGAAAGAGGCGAAATTTTGTAGTTGTTACCGTTATATGCACCAGACGAAAATGGCCTTTTGTTCAAAACTAAAAATGCAATATGATCGACTGAACTAACTAACTAACTAGCTGGCTTACCGAACCCGAAGTTTCATCACCGAATTAACCACAGCCCTCCACCGGACCCTGTCCTGGGCCAACAAAATCCAGTCTCCTTTAACTCCTATCTCCCACAGATCCCGCCTGACATTATCCTCCCATCTACGTCTAGGTCTCCCCAGCGGTCTCTTACCCTCAGGCCTCAGGCTTCCCAACCAATACCCGGTGCACACCTCTTGTCCCTTCCATGCGCGCTACATGTCCTGCCCATCTCATTCTTCTCGACTTAATCACCCTGACAATACTGGGGGAGGAGTACAGATTTTTAAGTTCGTCATTATGCAGTTTTCTCCAGACCCCATCGTCTTCTCTCCAAGGCCCAAACATCCTCAACACCCTATTCTCAAACACACTGAAGGCGTCATTAAATACATGAACAAAATTAGATGAGAATAAATTTTTTGGGATGTTGCGCAGTGTAACCTGATAGAAACTGACCTACGTTTCAGAGGCCGTGGTGATTAAAGCAGTAAGCACCTTCAAAACGTCGGTCAATTTCTACCAGAACAAATGGCGCACATCATAGAAGACAGTCGTCTTTATAACAGTCGCCATGAGAACCTGAAATCTCGCCAAACATTAGGTGAACTGCTGAAAAATTCCCTTATTTTGAAAGCCCTGTATTCCCCACATGCGTCTTAAAACAAGAATATTCACTTCAAATGGAATTTCCCGGAACATAGCAGTGGCTAATTATCCTGGTCTGGTATAAGTATCAACCAATATCTATTGTGGAGTATCCGCAATTCGATATGACTCCGGAACCCTCCCCTATTCAACATATCTTGGACGACCTTGCTAGCCACACTTATTCCGAACGCTCACAGATGCGAGACAAATTGATATTCGTTGCTGCAGATTATTCCTCTGCGATTATCGTATATACTTTCACAGATCCACTCTAACGGTAGGCCGTGGTCTTCATCCCACATACAGATAAACATCAATGACGAATTAAGTTCTATTTCCCCCCGTGTTCTTCTCATTGTATAAGTAAATGGATCACTTCTGTGTACGTGTGTGGCTGTTCCAACTGCACTCGAAACAAATATACACATTCCATGAAGGTCACAAAATATCAGTCACAAAGTTCAAAGTACAACATTTTACTCTGTAATTCCCTATCGCTCTCATAGAGGCCGCTACTGAATATGCTGTTTAAAGATCTTACAGATATCATATGAAAATTAATTTTAGGGAAAACGGAAAACAAATACAGTCAACAGCGCAGCGCCGTTTATTAATGTCTCTGTGTTACTGTTAAATACACATATCTATAAATTAAATCTTTTGGAAGTATGACTAAATTCATACATTTTTAAACATACTAACAAATCGCTCCACTCGCTTCCACAAAATCGATGGAAATTACTTCCCATCTAACATGGTCACCTCCTCCCCTCCAAACTTACCCAAAAAAACCCTTAAAAATCCCCGCATGCCCCTCTCCCATTGGAGATTGACCATCTAATCTAATTCGCCACCTATGTCTTCCACCAGCCGCCCCAGTACACGTTCACCTTGAAGATGGCAATTGTAAATATTTCCGAAACGTTGGCTGGTTAATACTCAACATTCGACGGGGTTCACACACGAAAGCCGAAGTTTCACATTACATTCACAAAGACACTGGGGGCAAACTACATTCGGGGAAAGTCTGCTACCACTCAATCTTCTCGTCTTCCTGTCTCAAACCTAAAAATGTAAAGATAACACACAAAAATATATATGTTCCTGTTGCTTTGTATGGATGTCAAATTTGGTCTTTCATAATATGAGGTCATAGCTTGAGGGTGGCTGAGAACAGTGTGATGATGAGAATAACTTAACCTACAGGGGTGGGAAGTAAGAGGCGGGTAAGGAACACTGTATAATTAGTTCCATAATCTGCGCTCTCTACCGAACACTTGTAAGCAATGAAATCAAAGACGAGACGGGTCGGGCATGTAGCATTTAAAGGACACGATAAATTCACAGAAAATTTTATTCAGAAAAACTCAGGGAAGGAGATCACTAGATAGACTTCGACACAGATGGAAGGATATTAGAATTTATGCTAAATAAATGAGGCTTAAGAATATGAACTGGGTTCACGTGATTCAGTATATGGACCAGTGGCGGGCTTCTATAAACACGGTAATAAATCTTCGGGCTCTATAAATGCGGAGTTTCTTGATCAGCTAAGAGACAATCAGCGTATCAAAAAAGGCTCTGCTGCCGGAGTTGTACGCCGACTCGTCTCCGAAATAAGAACTGATGCGATAAATTCGCTCTGCATTGTAACATTTTATAAGCAATTTATGAATAACAAGTCGCGTGTGTCATTGAAACGAAAAAAGCGAAAGGTGACGTAACGTTAATTCGACCATCTGACCGAAACCCTAAACAACAATGTAAATAGCGTCAACAGATTCTTCATTAAGCTTCACGAGACCATTGTTGCGTAAGAAAATATTAATGCATTGTTGCCGCTGCTGTGTAAACTAAAATTGTCACATCACACCGTTATTGCGCAAGAAAATATTAATACATTGTTGCAGCTGCTGTGTAATTACAACACAAACAAACTGTCATTCGGTGAAAGAAGCTGCTAGTGGATGTGCGTATTTCTGTGCTCAGTAAAACGACATTAAACATTTATTAGGGACGAATTGAAGCTCACTTGGGACAGGAACTTATCACTGAAGAACGAGAGAGAGACTGGAGTGAGGACCATAAAAAACGCGCAGAGGAACACGACAGCCAGAATAAGCGGAGGTACGTACACTGATTAAACGTTTCTTGTTGATGAAGACAAAAACGGTGGGTATCAGAGGGTTAAGATATGCGATCAACGCATTGTCAAGTTATTCTCGTGATTGAAACCTCCATTTTTAAGGTATATTTTGACGTAAATACGTCTATACGGAAAGGTCATTCGGCAAAAACAGCGTTAGTTACGAAGATATGTAGGGTCCATACCAACAATATGTAAATATGGACCGACTCAGCATTGTTGCGTTTCATTACTGCCGTCAACAATCCGCTTTCGTTATTGCGAAAAGAGCTGAGCTGTGAGTCGGTTGTAGAAGAAGTGCGTCGTAGAGTAGATAATTTTTGACGTAAATACGTCTATATTTTAGGGTCAGTGTCATTCGGCAAAAAGTGAAACGAAAAAGTGTAACAATGGTTTATCAACAAATAAACAACAATGGTTACCTAGGAAACTTCATCTGTTTATCAACAAATCGACAATAATGGTTACCTAAGGAACATCTATTTACTCGGCATTTTTGTTACCTAGGAAACGTCATCTGTTTACTCGGCATTGTTGTTACCTATAAAACATTTCATTACATTACATTACCTTACCTTACCTTACCTTATATTACCTTACATTACATTACCTTAAGTTACATTACATTACCTTACCTTACATTACCTTACATTACATTACTTTACATTACATTCAGCTACCACAGACCCATCTTAAGCGTAACTAATTCAGGTTAAATAAGCAATGTCTTAATCAAACTTTACTCAATTGTAAAGCGGGTATAAAGAAAATATTTAGAATAAAGCCATTATATAAACTTCCTTTCTGTATAGACGTATTTACGTCAGATTCTCCGGAACCGTGGTTCCACTGTCAATTATTGCCAACAGATAATTATGCCGCATGAAAACTTTATGAAGTGTAAAACAATTGCTGACTCCGGAGGTTGGAGTTCATAATTCCTTCTTTACTACTAATTTATTACTTATATATTTTACATTATGCACTAATACTGTTAAAATGAGACAGTTTTTTAGAAATAAATATTTAAAAAGTATGAGTTCTAGTCTCATGTGAAGAAGAAGGTGTATTCATTCATATTATCCCCGATATTACTGCTACTACGCATCTACAATGTCTTTCTTGATTTCTTTCCTTCTTCAAGGCATGAACATAGGAATCTAGTAATGGCTCCCGGCTTAAAGGAACTGCTGCAGGAGGCGGAGTGTCCAGTATGTATGGAGTACATGCTACCACCAATCGTCATGTGCGTGAACGGGCACAGTACTTGTTCCACCTGCAGAGAGAAACTTCTGACCTGTCCAGTCTGCAGGTGCAAATTTTCAAAAGGCAGAAATCTACTAGCAGAAAATTTGATTGGAAAAATTATGTGTCCCTGCCGACATTCGAACAGAGGATGCAGTAAGACGTTTAATTTACTGGGTGTAAGGAAACATGAAGACGAGTGCGGTCACCGTCCGTTCAAATGTCCATTCTCTTCTATTGCGACTGTAAAATGTCCCTGGGAGGACAACGTGAGCAAGGTCATGACCCACATTCGGGAAAGGCATTACATACATACTGACACAAAAGAAAACGGGAAGCTGAGTGGAGTTATTAATTGTAATGATCCAAATAATTCCGATTGGCGCAAAGCCATATTCATGTTAGGCGAGATATTCTTTATGACCACCAGATTTAAGCAAAATAATGTTTACGTTTGTCTTTGTCACGTGGGCCTACAGAACATACCCAGTTACAAATATGAAGTGACGATTAGAAAACGGAATGGCGCAGGCAGTTTTTCCGAATGTAAAACAACAAACTCTTTTCAGGGCGATGTGCAAAAAATATTTGAAGTAAAGGACTGTGCTGTTTTCAAAAAGGTACGGTGGAACAAATGCACTAATAAACGCAAGAATTTGTTTTATAAGGTATTAATATCCAAGAACTGTAAACAATAAATTTCCAACGAACGGCCTGATGACACCACCACAAATATTATCAGATATCTGTGTAGCATTTATTAAAATCAAGTATATTTTTCCCTATTAATTTGTAAAAATGTAGGCAATAATGTATATTTAAAATGTGTTATTGTATATTAATAAATTTTCAATCGCTGCTGTTAAATTTATTTGTTCTTATTCTCCCTGCGCATTTATTTTTAAGCACCTCAAACATTTGAATGTTTAGTAGAATTTCCCTCTACTTCATATCGAAGGCGTCATGCAACAGTGGTGTATCAACACATTTCTATAATCGCAGATATTTGGAATAACAACATAAAACAGAGGGAAGAATGTCATACCGGAAGTGCTGCTCTACCCAACGATACAGATAGTTACATTCAGACGTATAAACATTAACGACGCACATTCATCAAACCAAATAAACCTCAAGAACTTAGGAGTATTTTAACTCATTTTGTTAATACGCCCTTCTGGCATGACGACTTCGGTGCGTACTTTTAACCCGAGCAGAATTCCAATAAGCACGAGTGAAATTAAATAAACACATAATTTGAGTGCAGTCTGAAACACAGGATAATGTATTTGACTTTTAAATTATGGTGCCAGTTACATCCAAATGTGTCATAAACAGTGATACAGTAAGTATTGAATAGTGAATTCCATTTACTCGTAGAGTCTTGGAGCATAACATTCGGTTAAGGCCGGCGCATAGTACGCCGAACGGAACACAATTTTCCGACTGTGGCGCATACGAGCGCCTTCGAACATTTTGCTTCATGTCAGCTTCTCTCCGTCCATGTTGAATGTGGCCGATGTTACATTTTATACGTTTGTCTCTTTACCTGTGCGAATATTATCATAAACAAGCAAGGCATACATGTGAAGATGGCTGTATCCTATGTTGTTGCGCCGTGCAGTCTGGTAAAAGTTTACGGACGTTTCAAAGGTACTTGTTCGGTAAATATCTTTCAGGTTACACGTCGCAACAAACCAGATGGCAACCGTCTTGACACAGTGAGAACTTGAAGGTCGCTTTCTTACCTTTACATGCGTGGTAACGGAGATAACAAAATAACACTTAGTATACTCGTAAATCGACGCGACGCATGGATGAAATAACGTCTGTGCCTTACAGCTTCCAAACAAAGACTATGAGATGGGTAAAATAGATAAATTTACAAACAGCAGATGGTAGCAAACAGGGAAAAATATAACCTTGACGCATGTTAAGATGATAGATTGTTGCAGCCCCAATGTGACAGATGGCGAATGTTGATTTAAATTATTCCTGCTACCAGAAAGAATATATGGTGATAAAGTGCCAACTTAACAAGATCCGTCCGCATTCAAACTGTGCTCGTCCTGTATGCAACGTATACAAAGATAAACTTTAAGAGACGTCGCTCTCATCTACTGAAATCAAAACATTAACAAGCGTGCATGTTAATTCGTATATTTTCTTAGGCTTTTCTTGGTGCATTTGGAACGAAACGTTACAAGATTATAAGTAGCTTAATAGTGTTTTAACAGGCACGTTCCTCAGAAGGAATTATATATGACATGAATATTTCTGTCTTCTGGGTTGTTGCGCTGTGTAGTCATCGACCAGACTACACAGCGCAACAAACCATAAGACAGAAATCTTCATACTCACCGCTGTGAAAACCTAAAATCTTATATACATGACATGTTAGTCTAACATCAAAGTTCTTCAAATTACCTAAAGACCTAATGATGTTTAATTTTCCGTTACACATAAATAAACGAAACTGACACAGAACTTTGGTCAGTTTTGTATCACAATGGAAGAACTGAATATTAAGTCTACAAACATCTTTTTCGTAAGTATTTATGATAAGCTCGTTGGTATTCAGGACTATGCTCTTATGTAAAATGGTAGTAAAAATGTCCGATATAAATAAAAACTGGGGTGAGCTGACTATTTTCGTAAAATTTCCAGCATCTAACTTAATCCGTTCTTGAGTTGTTTCATGTGAGGGGCGGTTGGCGGTGGCAATGGAACTCGAAGAACCCGACCTGTGTGCGCGCACGAGCGGCGAAACAGTCGCCCGGCGACAAGCGTTTGCCCGACCTTAGTGGTGTTGTAAGCGTCGTGGACCTTGATAGCAAACGTTCTGACAGTGGGAGTCATAACTGAAGTGGATAAAAGGCCGGCATTGTACAGTAAGGCCATACCACCTCATTACAGTATTTTGGTAGGTAATATAGCTGGTCCAATCATAAACAACAACTCGTCGAAACTGCTGCTATTCATTCTAAAGTATCCCAAGAATTTCTTTGGATACATACGCAGGTTTTCATATGACTAGTGAAACTGACGTTTCAACAATCTTTGACTTATAAGTGGATGTACGCCAAATTTAATGTAACATCCCGGGATTTGCTGAAGAGACTGCAAAGAAACACTAACAACCTCGGTCAGAACAGCCGATTTCTCGAATGCGACGTAGAGATGCTAACCACGGTCACGTATCATCATAAGCAACACCTATTAGGCCTACCTCAGATCAACAACGTAGAGGACATATTTATTTGTGGATTCACCCTCGTCATAGCAACCTGTATAGCCATGTGTACTTTCGCATTAACCTTGGCATACGCTCGTATGCAGACCACAGACCTGCCAGTCCCATTACCTTCGTCGGTTACCCACTGTTGACTTACGACTGTAGATTTTGGTTAGCAGAGTGGAGTGTAATACACGCGAGATTATAGTGCATGCATCTCAAGACACCGTACCCCAACAAGCACCGGTTCGAAACCACGCAAATGACCCACATAACAGAGGAACACTGAACTATTAGTTACTGCGCATATAATGTTAGGTCGAGTTTGCAAATCCTGATGATGGAAGCAGCAAGGACTTCTGAAACGGTGGTAAACTTTTATCGGAGTACACGGCGCTACAACCCAGAAGACAGCAATATTCGTACTCACCGCCGTGTTAACCTCAAATCCTACCGAGATATGCATTCTCTCTCAAAAGCCTTTGAGAGCTTGGCTCACCAGCAGGGGTAGAAACGCCAGGCTATTAGGCAGAGGGAGGGGATTAGTAAACCCTTTGAAGATGGGTCATCGCCCTAATGATAGAGGCAGAAAGTACCTCTGAAAGGTCAGTGAACTTCCACCAGACTACATGGTGCTGCAACCCAGTCCTCTGTGAGAACCTCAAATTCTACTTAGCCTTTTCTTTACTGACCACCTTTCTTAAACAAAGCAGTATTGGTTATGGGTTCCCTCGTGGGACTGAGCACAATATATCTGACTATCTCATTTATCGACCGGAAATGCAATACCTTCAGAAATTTCCACTGTTTGGGGAATATAGTCCCTTAAAAATTCCGACATCCTTTCAAGAACATTTTTTCTATAATAATAATAATTTATTTACATTCCATGGATCCATAAGACAGTCAGATGACGATAGGATGTGGAAAAAATCACAATAAAAATAATAATAATAATAATAATAATACAATACATATTATAAAGTACAATTCGTACTATTATATAAATTTCACATAATACAAAACAAAGTATTCACCTAGAGAAATGATAAGCTACAAATAGATCTACCCATTACACACAAGAAAAATTTATCACTTATTTGTAAACAACATAAATTCATTGACAGAGTAAAAGGAGTGTGTAATTAAGTATCTTTTTAATGCTACCTTAAATTGCTCCTTCTTATTTACAAGACTTGTGAGATTTGATGGTAGACTGTTGAAAATTTTGATTCCTGCATAATATGCACTCTTCTGAAAGCATGAGAGGTTGGCAATTATCATATCATGTGTGACCATACCTATGTTAGTTTCGAGCCACTTACAGATTAAATTCATGCCTAAGTCAGGACAAAAAAAACTGTCCCGCGCCGTGGCCGCGCGGTCTGAGGCTTCGGACCGGTGATACGGAATGTGCGCTGGTTCGAGTCTCGGGGAAAGAAATTTCTCATGAGATTTTCGACCGGTGTATGGGACCGGTGCCATCCCAGCATCGTGAGGAAATTGGGGAGCTACAATGAGTAGCGTAATCCGGTCAGGAAAGCTAGCAATGGCTGGGGGTTCGTCGTGCTGACCACACGTCACCCTATATCTGGTTGGATGATTGTTCACCTCTGCTTAGGCATGTGAACGTGAGGCCAGCAGTCAAGCTAGTCGGCTTTGGCTCTCAGAGGGCTCTTACGCCACGGATTTAATTTAATTTAATTTAATATTCCCAAAAACCTTGGAATCATCTCGTTGTGATCTTGATGCGATGTTGACCTATACATGTCAGATACCTACTGATCGACAGATATATGCTTTTGAAAAAATGACCTACGAATGACCTTGAGAACTTTAAAAGCTTCTATTCGGAGAACGCACGGACTGATATTGTCGTGACTACGACATGACGCTGATATGTGAGTGACCTCTAGCCGACATGAATATGGTCACTCACATACCTGCAGATCGGCAGATACATGCGTTTGAAAATATGGCTGTCGACTGACCGTGAAATTTCAAAGGCCTCTATTCGGAAAACGAACGGACTAATATTGTGACTATGACATGACACTGACATGAAAATGGTCACTCAGATTCCTGCAGATCGGCAGAATTATGCGTTTGAAAAAATGACTAAGGAATAACCGGCGGTGCCCGAATTTATAACTTGTGTTGGGCAAGGCCGTGGTCCAGGTATCACCGAGTTTTCCTCCGGGGCTTCCCCGGTTTCTCCGTGGCATCCCAACAATTACTCCATTCACACACAGAAGAAGGCAATGGCAAACCACTTCTGGATCATCTGCCAAGAACGTATATGAACAGGTCCCAGTCCGAGAAAAGGATGGAAGGATCCTGTTCATATGGACCTGTCGTCAGACAGAACACTAAATAATAATAATTCGGAAAATCCAATGACACATATTGTTGCGACTGCGACATCAACTAAACGTATGTCCACTAAGGTTCGGCAGAATTAAGA